CAGTAAAGGCTTAACTGTACTTGACTGTTGCTCAACTCTGTGTAATTCATCCACTGCAAAGTCATCACTGAGGAGGAAATGCTTCAGGCTTGAAGAATCTTGCGGGGGAAATAGATTAGTTTGTAATTTCAGGTGATCAAAGCCTCATGAACTGGGTGTGTGAAGGTGAGGCCATAGTGTGTGTGAGAGTGATTATCAGCACTACTCCAATGTGACCTTTATTGCAGTTTGTCAACTAGACACAATGAAAAACTTTATGGGTAAACTTCACAATGATTAAACTATTCCTTCCTGGTCAACTATAATCCCTATTCAAATTTAAAAAATTATAATATTACTGTACAACCACAAGTTGGCACTCACAACCTCTTAGATTTGCCAGTTCAACTGCAAATCTTTCACGCTCTGACTTTTGCTACACATTTTGTGCCATTCCTTTAGCAGAACTCATTTGTGCACTCGTAGATGCAGAGGTGCGAGCAATGCGGGGAGGGGCGAGGTGAGGCTAAAGCTGTTTTATTGGCCGATGTCTGACCAATGAACAATGCTGGCCACCAGTGGGACACGGATGCAAAAGAATAAATTCTATGATTATTGTATTATTTAGGAGTTTTAAAAACATATTTTCTGAAAAAGGCTTTTGTTAAATATTATTATTCTAACGAAATGTATATAACTGTAAAAGAGCAGGAAAGTCGGTTTATTGGCTAGAGACAGCCAATGAGATGGGACGTTTTTGTACATCAGCACACAGGACAGCTCACATTGTTTGAGGCATCGAGCAATCAGAAGGTGAGTTAAGTTCTCACATTTAGATTTGCGAGCTCTCGAGTTTTGCAACTGATTTACCTTCATAATATCTCTAAGTGAATTATGGTGCAGTTTGACTTTAATAAGCATCTAATACCAAAGACATGTTAACGAACCACAAACACCACTGGATTTCGCAAGATATGACCATGAAAAGGACCGAAATCCTGTGCATACCTGTTTTATAACCAGTTTTTACTATCGTGATGTTGCATATTTCAGTTCAGCACAAATGTTAGAATCGTCTCTGATTCTTTGTGTGTGACAAAACGGTGCTGTTTTGACTCCTTTACACAATTTATAAGCTGTTCTTAATAAACATGTAGATAAACAGTACATTGAGCACATTCAGCCAAGCACACTAAATAATCAGGTTGCAGATGCCCCATATAACTGTTTATTTGGTAGTCAAATAGCCAATGTTTTATATGTGAAAAGCATCAGTCAAAGCTTGTAATTGGCAGCATCAATATGAAGTGAATCAGCACAATTTATTTGCTGATAATTTTTTTTATATTAAGCTGATAAAGAGTTTATTTGTGAATCACTTCTTTGGGTTGTTTAGCAATATGCATGATACATCTTTTGGAGGTTTCTTTTTTTTAGGTTCGGGTTTAGAAATAACAGTTAGATTGCTCTAAGTGAATCATGACCAGTCATGCTTTCCTTTTTTTCCGCTTTTTCTTTCCTGGGAACTGAAGTATAAGTGTGAACATAAGGCTGTTGCTCAATGATTTTGGACCAGGAACCTACAATAGGGGAAATAAGTATTGTACGCCATGTGTTTTCCTAGGAATACCATTTCTAAAGGAGCTGTTGACATGGAATTGAACCAAGTTTTGGTAAAAACAATACAAATATAAAAATAAAACAAACAAAAATAAATCTGATAAATAAGGTATGTGTAATAACAATGGAATGACACAAGGAGAAAGAACTGAACTACTGAAATGTAATTTATACTTTATATAAAAGGCTTTTTGGTGATGGCAGCTTAAAGACGCTTCTCAAATGGAGAATGAAGTCTGCTCAGGTGTGAGTTTTTTTTTTCAACAGAGTGTTAAAATCTTGATGTTCTGTCATGGGTCTTGTCTATCAATTCTGAGTATTTTCTATTGGATTCAAGTCAGGTGATTGGCTGGGCCGTTCTATAACTTGATTTTCTTTCTCTGAAAGCATTTGAGAGTCTCCTTGGCTGTGTTTTGCATCATTGTCTTGCTGAAATGTCCACCGTGTTGATCTTCTTCGTCCTGCTAATGTATATGTTGGACTGAAGCAGCTAATATTCATTCACAATGAGGAAGGGCAGAGGGTCGCTGAAGAACTACCAAGACAGGGGTGGCCAACCCTGTTCCTGGAGAGCCACCTTCCTGCAGATTTTTGCTGTAACCCATATCAAACACACCTGCCTATAATTATCACGTGGTGTTTAGGCCTAATTAGTTGGTTCAGGTGTGTTTGATTTGGGTAGCAACTGAAATCTGCAGGAGGTGGCTCTCCAGGAACAGGGTTGGCCACCCCTGTACTGTACTAAGAAATTTTAGCTGCTGTTTCACTGTCTTTTTTCCCTTTCTTCATGTATTCAATACTTTTTCCCTGCGTAATTTCATTTTATTACACATAACTTCATTTGTAATTTAATTAGATTTGTTTTCTTTGCATATATGGATTTCTTTTGGTTGTTTTCAACATCCAGAGAAAATTTGAAGTCTTTGACACTTTTAGAAATATGTTTTCTGAGAAAAATTGTGACGTGTTTAATACTTATTTCCCCCACTGTATATGTGCAAAAAGCTTGGTAGCAAAATAAGACTATCTTTTATTCTGTCTGCTTTTATGATGTGTGTTGTTAATAGAGGAACCGTTAAAGTTGCATATAATTCCACCCGTGTGTTTGTTTTGTGTGGTCTATTGTACCTAAGATAATAGGCATTTATTCCTGTTTAAATACAACCAACACATCATATTTATTCAGTATGCTGAAACCTAGAGGGCAGAACATTCAGTCTTTTACAGTTTCACTGAAGACTCTTAATGACACTCATGCTGTTTCTATTACATTCCAAGATTTAAGGCCTCAAGAAGCTGTCCTGTTTTTTTCATTTAGGTATTTAGAAGCTCAATTATAGGTTATAAAAAAGTTCACAAACAACTAAAACATCATAAATTTATCCACATGTCATTTTCAGAGTTAGCGACTTAGACTTGAAACCCAAAGGTTGTGGGTTCGATTTTTATACCAGCTTAGAGTTTTCGGTGTGAATATGAATAAATAGTGTTCTCATCCAATCAGGACTTGTATGTGTGCGTGTGTGCGTGCTTGTGCTTGTGTGTGCTTGTGTTCATTTACTGCTCACTTCTGTGTATTGACTTGGATAAGTTTAATGCAAAGGACTGATTATGGGTTGCCAGACTTCACATATTTTCATAAATGTTTTATGAAATTATAACTTAATTATAAGTGTTGTTTCTCATTCAAAATCATCTAAAATATATTTTTTAGATATTTATTCTATCTATATAAGTTTAATATATAATTTACTCATCATTTATTCGTTTTTTTTTTTTTTTTTTTGGCTTAGTCACTTTATTCATCAGGGCTAGCCACAGGGGAATGAACTGCCAACTTATCTTGCACAGTCTTGCAACTTATCTTTTAAACAGTGGATGCCCTTCCAGCTGCAACCCATCACTGGGAAACACCCATATTCACTCTCATTCAACAAATACACTATAGACAATTTAACTATATAACTCCAATTCACCTATACCGCATGTCTTTGGACTGTGAGGGAAACCGGAGCGGAGGAAACCTACACCAACAAGGGGAGAACAATATAGTTTACTAAAATAAATTACGTGTAGTAAAGCCTAAAATTATTTAGACTTAAAGTTACTTTATTTAACCAGTAAGTTTATCTTTTACAAAAAATGACACAAAAACTGAAAAACTTTAAATCTGAATTTTCCAGTCGTATGAACTTTTGGATGAACAATTATAATCAATGTTTTATATTTTATTTTTAGTATAGTGTGAACGAGGATTTCTTTAGTGTGTGTGTTTATGCTGTGTCACACTTGACTTTATATATAATATTTAAATTCTAATATATTTGAGGCGCAGTTTGTAGTGCAGTTTGCATGTTCTCCACGTGTTTGCTCCACAGTCCAAAGACATGCGCTATAGATGAATTGGGTAAGCTAAATTGTCCGTAGTGTATGTGTGTGAATGAGAGGTTAAGGGTGTTTCCCAGTGATGGGTTGCAGCTGGAAGGGCAAACGCAGCTTAAAACATATACTGGATAAGTTGGTGGTTCATTCCACTGTGGCAACCCCTGTTTAATAAAGGGACTAACACTGTGAATTTGCTTATTATACATTTATTAACATTTTTTAAATGTTTCAATTCTAGATTCACAGACATTATTTTAACAAACTATTGAAAATATGTGGCTAAAAATAGCTATTAACTTCTATTTTTTTTTCTTTTTTGTGGGGCCAGTGAAAATTTTGCCAGGGCAAGTAAAAATCCCTGCATGTAATAGGTCAGTGTGTTAGGTCATGTGGAGATGCTACCTTAGTGATAAAACTAAAACATATTCATGCTAGTAAAATGTTAACAGCATTAAGTCATGCTAGCAGCAAGCTAACTTGTCCTCAAGCATGCGTTGCATCTGAAAGCTCTCAAATACTGCCTGCAGAGACGACAATCCAAGTCAGGAAGATATCAAGACACGTCTGAAGCAAGTTCTGCTTTACTTCCTGTCTTGATAGGATTTTTGTTTATTTTTTGCTGCCTTTGATATCCCACAATCCTGTGTGCTCCATTTCTGAAAGTCGGGATAAAATAAAGATGGTGTCTCGAAGGGCTACTTGGATGTCAATTAGTGTGTAAATGTATGTTTTTGACCAGTATTTTCTACTTTTGGTGGCATTTCCAGTAAGAATTTAGTAATTTAGTAAGCACATGTTCCTTAAGTCATCACTAATGTTGTCTTATTTTGTTGTAAATGATTAAATAAGTCATTATGCTGTTTCCGTTTTCCCTCTGGAATCGTTTTCCACCGGATAGAAGACGGCCATTGCGTTCAAACGTATCAATGTTTTATATTTGATTTTTAATATAGTGTGAAAGATGTTGTTTTTTTATTTGATGTGTGTGTATTTATGCTGTGTTGTTTTTTATCTAGATGATGTGTCAGCAGAAAGCAGCACAGAGTATCCCGACAAGCTTTCTACAATGGAGGTGCGTCTCCAAGCACAGGAAGATGAAATAACGCTACTGAAGTCCTCATTGGCCGATGCTTTACGCAGGCTCCGCCTCCATGACCAACAGATACCCCTGCTTAAACAGCAGCTGATTGCTGGTATGAGCTTTCTTGCTGTTTTTACAGTGTGCTACTGTACAGATATCACATCAGGTTTATAGCACATTGACATGTATTGCAACAGATATTATTGTATTGTGTTTCCTGAACAACCTAAACAGTAAACCCTGCTGCTGCTCGAGTGCTAAATCAGTCCTGTTATGTGGATGGATTCTCTAAACCATGCAGACTGTCTACAAGTTCTCTTGATGGATTTAACCACACACCTAACAGGTACAGAGGAGTCTAGGTTTGTAATGAGCTTAACACGCTGTTATCTAAGTATATACTAGTGTTGAGTAAAAATAAAAAAAGTTCTATATTATTTTAAGCTTTATTTTAATCTTTTGAAAATAAGATTGCAAAAATAACATAACACATGAAGTGAAAATATGTGCTGTCATTTATTTATTTATTTATTTATTTATTTATTTTAAAGATTAAAGGAATAGTTTACCCAAAAATTAACTATTATTTACTCCTTCTTTACTCATTTCAAACTTTTATGAGATTCTTTCTTCTGATAATCACAAAAGAGGATATTTCGAAGAATGCTTGAAACGTGTAACCATTGACTTTCATAGTATTGTATTCAAATATATCTTTGGAAGTCAATGGTTACAGGTTTCCAGCTTTCTTCAAAATGTCTTCATTTGCATTGACTGTAATGTAATGTGTATTTATATTGCGCATTTATTGTGTATGGCCATACACCCAAAGTGCTTCATAATCATGAGGGGTCTCTCCACACCACCACCAGTGTGCAGCATCCACTTGGATGATGCGACGGCAGCCACAGGACAACGGCACCAGTGCGATCACCACGCACCAGCTATTGGTGGAGTGGAGAGACAGTGATAGAGCCAATTCAGTGGATTGGGAGGATTGGGAGGCCATGATGGTTAAGGGCCGAGAGGAAAACACCCCTACTTTTTATAAGAAATGCCATGGAATTTTAATGACCACAGAGAGTCTGGACCTCAGTTTAACGTCTCATCTGAAAGATGGGGGCCACTGAGAGTATAGCGTCCCCTTCAATTTAATGGGGCATTAGGACACAGACCACAGGTTAAGCACCCTCTACTCTCCTCACTAACACCACTTCCAAGAGCAACCAGGTTTTCCCATTTGGTCTCCCATCCAGGTACTGGCCAGGATCAGGCCTGCTTAGCTTCAGTGAGTAACCGGTCTTGAGCTGCAGTGTGATATGGCTGTGGATAGAAGAAGAAAAAAACTCATAAAGGTTTTAATCTAGTTAAGAGGGAGTACATTATGACACAATTTTCATTTAGGGGTGAACTATCCCTTTAAGATTAGCTTAAAATGGTTATATATGACTTTTTTGTACTCAACACTGTGTATAAGAAATAGCACAAGACTGATTAACAGATATTCATCAAAATATCACAACTGTCATTTACAAATGAAATGCAGAAATGTCTTCCTGGAGTTGCAGATGTGCTCGATGACACTGAAAAGAAATGCTCTGCGAAACAGAACAGCCTGGTCGCCCACATGTGTTTAATACAAAGAAGCAGAGCAACATTCCTTGCAATCTGCACATTTGGGACATTCTGAACAACATCCAGGGAAAAGGGGAAAACTGAGAAAAGCATTCAGAATAATGTTAATGTGACTATAATGAGATTTCTGTGTTTGTGTGTAGGGCAATGTCAATTACAGTTCCCCTTTTTGAGGTTTACTGCAGGTCTGTGTTATTGAATGTTGATGGTATAGATTAAAGAGTTGTGCTGCTGGATGCTGAAAGACTTGTACGTAGTTAGTTATACAAAAACTTGAGCTATCACAATTGTGAGTACTGGTTCATGTCAATTAGTTATTCATGAATGATAATTGTATCATTTACTCACCCTCATGTTAATCTTTACTATTTTTTTTAACTCAAACACAAATGTTTAAAAAAGAACATTTAGAAATGGAGTTTTGGAGTATGTTGATGTTTTTGGGTAAGGATGTTGAACATTAGAGATGTAGTCGTCCATTAATCCATTGTTAAAGGTAAATGCAGGAGCATTCTAACTAAAATAAGCTTAAACAATTGCAAAGTTGTCAGTAGGTGAATATAGAATATTCCGTGTTTTTAGATATAAACAAATTAGATATTATTAGATATCAATAAACATGAAAATATGTTTTCCCCCAATATTTAAAGTCTAAAAACAATACTTTATGTTGGCCTATTGTCATTTTCTGCAAATAGATTCTTTTAATCACCAAGCTTATTAAAGATGCAAGCTACTTTCTGAAAACTGAAAGTGGCCAAGAGCTACTCGTGTCATGGTCACCAAACCTTTCAAATTGATTAAATATCATATATAATAGATCATAAATCTCTCAATAACAATAAAAAAAATCCAAACTTTTACACACCCCAGATTTTGCTCTTTACATTTAAAAATAATAGAACTGAAGAATGCATTTATTTTATATAAAAAATTACTTTGTGTAATTGAATACTGTAGCTGTCGACACAAAAAAAATATAGTCTTATAGACATTGAATGTGTCATAACTCTAAAATTAACAAACATCCAAACTGAAGTAGCTACTAGTAGTACTGGTAGCACCAGTAGCTTGCAAGCAACATGTTGGTGACCTCTGCTCTATAATACAATTCTTAATCTGATTCTTATCCTGTAGGTTTGTGAAAACTTCTAGAAAATTCTAAAAAAATTGTGAAATTTTAAGTTGATCAAACTGAGTATGTTTACACGGACACCAATACTCTGATTTTAATACGATTAAGACAATACTCTGATTAAGAAACTACCATGTAAACAGCAGTTTTTGATTAACTAATCCGACATAAGCAATATAAACAGAAATCAAATGAAAACCCGTGGAGTAATACTATTTTAGTCGCATTATTGAAATCAAACTATTACTGTAGTGTAAAATTTTTCTCCTCGATTTGCGACAGGATATTTCCTATAGTTTGACACTATTCTCTGCACCTACAAAGTCAGTAAAAGACCACAGACACACTCAAATTGAAATGCACAGGGTTTGTTTTGCATTTGGTGTGCGGGAATCAAATTCCATTAAAACAACACTCCACCAGTCCTTACTCCATACTCGCATCCAATACCTCAGTTTGTCCAGGGCATGAATGAAATGTTCCTGAATGAAAGTGAAAGTGCCAAACTGCAGTTAAAGACAACAATTTATAAATGAAACTCCCAAAATTACATGAAACTCCAGAGGAAATGTGGATAGCGTGCTGACGCAACGACATTAATCAAATTATGTGCTATAACATGTAAAACAAGATCATGAAAGGAACATTCGCTAAGCAACTCATGTAAACATCTTAATCACATTATTGATTCAATAACAGATCTGATTCAGATTATGCAAAAAATTCGACTACTGATGTCTATGTAAATGTAGTCATTGACTTCACAAATAGCTCATCAAATATAATTGAATCCTGCATAAATCTTCAATTCTTTCAGGTTTTATAAATTATAAATTTGACATATAACTACTTGGTTAGTCATATATAGCTTTCAGAACATTTTGGTGAAAAATCTTAGAGCGTCAAAAAAGTTATTAAAAGATATTTATGTTCAATGTTTGGAACAACACGAGAGAGTAAACGATGGTGACAATTTTAAATTTTAATTTTGTTGAATTCATTATAAGTGACCTGCAGCATTTGATCGGACAAGCATAATTTGAGACCCTTATCATCTCAGACTGTTTTGTTTGTGTATCTGTAGCCTTATTTCAAACACAGCAGAAAATGGGGAGGGCGGGGCTAAAACCATTCCCAGCCACAAACCGAGCACTAGCGAGAGGTGCACACAGACTGATCCTTGGATCCCGAACCACGAGCCCTTTCCGCTGGCCCTGACACGACGTGTGCAGAGTCTCTCCCTGGAGGACGCCTTACTGGAAGGCACCCCCTTCACAGATGAAATCCAAACCAAAGAGGAAGACGCTGATGAAGATGAGGGGAAGAAGGACCAAACCTGGAGCTCCATAGTTGAAGACCCCATCCAGCCCACCACCATCAGAACCCTCCAGCAGCAGCACAGCAAAAGCAGCGAGGACAGCCAGGGTTCATGTCCTCAAACCCCAACATCTTCCTCACCGGCACCCCCAAAAGAGCCCACATCCAGCCCACATGGGGGTCCTCTCTCTCCCATTCAGGAAGGAGAGAAAACACTGTGCGTTCACCCGCAAAACATGGAGTCAGGCATTGGCTCTTGAATACACTGCAACTGGATTTGGTTTTAATCATTGCACTAATGCTTGTGTTGCTGCGCAAACCACAGTTACAGCTTGATGATGCAGTTTTGGCACCTAGTTTAAGCTTTATTAACTTGAAAGCATGGAGGAGTCACTTAAAGAGTAGAATTTTAGTTGTTGGATTTAGGATGAAACATGGTACTTGTTTGAATTGGATGTATTGCCAGTAGATGAAAAAAATGAATCTACTTTAGATTTACTGCAATCCTGAAAAACTTGCATTTAAGGACAATTAGAAAATATCTGAAAGTATTTAAGGGTCATAAAAATACAAATATACTCGGTAGGGATGCACCACAATTGGGCTATACTGTGCTGCACTGCTCAGCAGTGTTTAATTTGCTGGTTTCTCGCTTTCTCCAGCTGTAGTCACTGAGCAATCTGAAGTGGCTTTCACATTAGATGCAGAAAGTGAAGTGCTATGAAACCCATTTATTTTAATGGGATGTGCCATGCAAGGACAGTTTGTTGCTACACTGACCAAAGCACAAGACCAGAGGGGTGTATTGAACTAGGTTGTGTTTGCACCTCAGTCAAAGATCAAATTAGATTAATATTTCCCTTATCTATGCCTGAACCGCACATGCTCAGTAGAAAGCAATGTCTGCTCAAATAACATGCCGACAGAACATTTCTTTGTAGTTACATTGCTGTTATGACAACGTTAAAAATAAAAAAAAATTATACCTTTAGATTTGTTCATTGTCAATAAAATTTTAGTGTCAATAAACTTTATTTGGCATGTTTTTTATAGTATAATTTAAGTTTTTGAGTTGAATTTAAGTCTTTACATTATCTAATAATTTTTATGTTTCGGTTTCGACTCAGAATTTAAATTATGGTGCATCCACTGATTGAATTTGTTATTTATAGATGTTTTACCGTACAACTTCTAAAACAACTATTATTCTTTCAGTGGGATGCCCTTCCAGCCGCAACCCACTACTGGGAAACACCCATACACTCTTGCACTCTCAATTTAGTTCATCCAATTCACTTATACCACAAGTCTTTGGACTCTGGGGAAAACCTACACCATCACAGGGAGAACATGCAAATTTCACACAGAAATGCCAGCTATCCCAGCCGGGACTCGAACCAGTGACCTTGATGCTGTGAGGTGCTAACCACTCAGTCACTGTGCCGCCAGTTTCTTGACATGCATAATACAAATCAGGAAAGCATCCTTATGTGGTCAGTTTAAACGAAGCATTTGAGACTGAACAATTTATGTATTGTCATCCTGAAATATGACCATGGGATACATCTTCTCAACTTGTTGCTCAAATTTAAAATATACACACAGCATCAGTTTAGGTTAAGTTAATTGTTGATATACAGTATATTGAGCCAGAAACATATTAATCACTGGTATAAACACCCGGTCATATACCATTAAAATAATCAGTTTATCATTATGATGTTTAATTAATATAATATTTAATATATAGAAGTTACCAAGACATGCACATCCCAAATATAAATCATAGACCTCAAAAGTATTTAATGTATAAGTTCACTAATGTCAAGATATTTAATGTATTAAAGTGCATATAGAAACTTTGCAGATTCCCTCACACCTGTTTATTTAAACTTATCATTGCAAGATATAATTTTAAGATGCGCATTTGTTTTATTTATGTTTTTGCATTTGGCCAACTTGCATTGCATTCAAGGTATTCGTTTAAACAGGTTAAACAGTCCATGTTAATTAAACGCATTACTTGAATTGTAGCATTTTTAAATCAATAGCATGGCTTCTGCCATCATCTACTGTTTGAACTACAGTAATGTATGAGTCCATCAGTAATACCAGAGACACAGACGTTTGTATCCCTAGGGCACTACAGAATGACACATGTCTGAATTGATATACTTCTGGCATTCATTCAGCCCTTTGAAAGAAACAGATCCGTGCCAACAGAGCTTTACATTTGTTTTTGAATCCGCTCCATGCTTTGACTTCTTTGGAAATGCATTTGTGATTTGTTGAGGCAGATGTCAGAGTTTTGGAAATTGCAGCCTTGAGTTTTTTATAGAAAAAGGGAGGACAGCTCACTGTGTTTGTTCAGTTGCGATGTTGACTTAGCCCGGTATGCATGTCCGTTGATCCGGTTGCAAGAGCACCGCGCCATTTCTCAATAAATAAGGCAATAATATTGTGTCATTCAGACCCGTCGGCTCTCCTTCAGGTGAATATGAAAGATATGAGATCATTGCTAAAGCTGAAGAGCTGTCGGAGTGAGACAGGAATGTAGTCAGTATGTATGCCAAAACTGCTGCTAGGAATCTTGGCTGTAACATGGTTTTTGCAGAAACACAAAGCTCATGATTGAGCCTTGCTGGAGCATTAACATCATACTAACCCATCAAATAATCTCACTTAATCTTCTGAACAAAGAAAATCTGTGGATTCGTTGACTGATTTATCTGCATGCGTGCTTTGGGTGGTCTTTCGGGGGTTGTTATCGTCTGTTTTAACTTCTGTACTGCTTGGTTTCCACAAATTTCGCCGTAATTCCTATGGGTGGATTTTAATTTCTGTTCCATGCTCCTTGTAAACAGTTTTGCCTCGTTCCTTCCTGGTTTCTTTGCGTGGATGTCAAGCAAATGTTTTTTTTTTTTTTTTTTTTTTTATGAGGCTCAAGAGTGTTAAAGCAGGTTATGTCGCAACAGAGCTCTAGGACAAGTAAATTCGATTTTTCTGCGGTGTGAAAATACAGTAAAATGTACAGAAAAATAGCAGCTGTAGTTGCCAGAATTTTACTATTGAAAAAGTTACACTGACAACAACACAACCAAAAGCAGGTGGTAATGAGAAATTTGCACAATAAACCAATGCTCAAACAGCTTATACACTACCTGACAAAAGTCTTGTTGCTTATCCAAGTTTTAGAAACAACAAAAAATAACTTGACTTCTAGTTGATCATTTGGTATCTAAAGTGGCTTATATGAAAGTCAAAGACCTCTAGAGTTTTGTTTGAAAATTAAAATCGGGTTGACGGCAGAACCCAACGTCAGGCCAACATTTTTGTTATTTTCCATTGCAACCTAAAAACAACAACAAAATATTAGCGCCTAATGATGTTACAGCTTAGCGTTTTGTGAACGTTACCACTGTTACGTCTGTCAAATGTTGGATTTTGGTTGCCATACTATAATAAGATATTTGATTAAGACTTTGGCTCGATATTAGATTTTAGTCACTGTCCAACACAACCTAAAATCAATGTCATTTCACATTGTTATTGGACCTCAAAATAACATTGCCTTTAGATGCTTGTGACACAAATCTAACCTAATATTAGCGTATATAACCATATAAGTGTCAACAAAAGGCATAAAACTAAAAAAAAAGTGTCTTTCAGCGGTTTCTAGCAAAGTTAATTTATGGTTACAGTGCATCCGGAAGGTATTCATAGCACTTTACTTTTTCCACATTTTTTTATGTTACAGCCTTATTTCAAAATGTATTAAATTCATTTATTTCCTTAAAGTTCTACACACAATTCCCCATAATGACAACGTGAAAACTTTTTTTTTTTTTAATTGTTGCAAATGTATTACAAATAAAAAAAAAACTGAAACATTACCTGTATATAAGTAATCACAGCCTTTGCTCAGTACTTTGTTGATGCTCCATTGGCAGCAATTACAGCCTCAAGTTTTATTGAATATGATGCCACAAGCTTGACACACCTGTCTTTGGGAATTTTTGTCCATTCCTCTTTGCAGAACCTCACAAGCTTTATCAGGTTGGATGAGAAGCAACGGTGCACAGCCATTTTCTCTCCAGAGATGTTCAATAGGATTTAAGTCTGGGCTCTGGCAGGGCCACTAAGGGGCATTCAACGAGTCGTTGTTAAGCCAGTCCATTGATGTTTTGGCGGTGTGCATTGGGTCATTGTCCTGACAAAAGATGAACCCTCGCCCCAGTCTGAGGTCAAGAGCACTCTGAAGCAGGTTTTCATTCAGGATGTCTCTGTACATTGCTGCATTCATCTTTCCCTCTCCTGACTAGTCTTCCAGTTACTGCTGCTGAAAAACATCCCCACAGTATGATGCTGCCACCACCATGCTTACGGTAGGGATGGTATTAGCCTGGTGATGAGCGGTGCCTGGTTTTCTCCAAATGTAACGCCTGACATTCCCTCCAAAGAGTTCAATTCTAGTCTCATCAGGCCACAGATTTTTGATTCTTATGGTCTGAGAGTCCTTCAGATGCCTTTTAGCAAATTCCAGGCGGGGAATGGCTCCTGTCTGGCCACTCTACCATACAAGCCTGATTGGTGGATTGCAGATGGTTGTCCTTCTGTAAGGTTCTCCGCTCTCCATAGAAGAATGCTGAAGCTCAGACAGAGTGACCATCGGGTTATTGATCACCTTCCTGACTAAGGCCCTTCTCTCTTGATCACTCGGCTTAGATGCCCGTCCAGCTCTAGTAGAGTCCTGGTGGTTCCAAACATCTTCCACTCATGGATGGTGAAGGCCACTGTGCTCATTGGAACTTTCAGAGCAGCAGAAATTGTTCTACCTTCCCCAGCATTGTGCCTCGAGACAATCCTGTCTCTGAGGTCTACAGACAATTCCTTTGTCTTCATTCTTGGTTTGTGCTTTGACATGCACTGTCAACCCTGGGACCTTATATAGACGGGTGTATGCCTTTTCAAATCTTGTACAATCATGTAATTGACCACAGGTGAACTCCAATGAAGCTGCTGAAACATCTCAAGAATGATCAGTGGAAACAGAATGTACCTGAGATCAATTTAGAGCTTCACGGCAAAGGCTGTGAATACTGATGTACATGTGATTTTCCAGCTTTTGTATTTTGAATAAATTTGCAACAAATTCAAAAACTATTTTGTCACATTGTCATTATTGGGTATTGTGTGTAGAACTTTGAGGAACTAAATGAATTTAATCCATTTTGTAATAAGGTTGTAACATAAAAAAATTTGGAAAAAGTGAAGCGCTATGATTATTTTCCGAATGCTCTGTATTTTAGGGAAACTCACTGTTATGCAACCAAAATTTTTACAGTAGCATTTTAAATCATTCCATGTAAATATGCACTTAACCATTTTTATGTTTACAACTGCACAACTCTCTTAACTTTTGCCTAATTACTAATTGACTCTAAACAGTGAGACTAAACATGATAATGCAAAATTATTATTATTATTTATTTTTATGTTAAGAGAGTTACAAATTAGCCCGTGCGATTCTTCAGTAACATTGCAGATGGCAGTCTGTAACTTGTCAATGTTCTGCTGGATTATAGCACTGAGAGAAAACAAATGTGGGTTTTTAATGACAGCACTATGAACCACACTGACACAATGTGGAAGTCCAATGCATGAAGTTTCCATGCACTAAGTGGACTGGACAATAACCATATTTTACATTACACACAATGTACTTGGATAAAACATAGTTATATCAGTACATAGTCAATTTAAGTTGTTCTGTTTTGATGTTTAAAGAATGATGTTCATTTTTTGATCCATGTATAATATACAATTAATATACACAAAGCGCACACACACACACAGCAAATTTATCTCAGGTTTTATAATAAATGCAAATAAATTACATCACGCTTTAGTCTATAAACAAATGATATTTAGAAATTAAAAATTAGAGCTGCATAACATTTCGGAAGAGTTAGGAAATCAATATTGATGCAATAACCCTGCATAATTTGTATTCACAGCAAACGCTGCCTGCTTTTATCAGCCGAGTTTCACTTCCCTGTCTTCCACCACAAGTATCGTCATTGATCACGTGACTGCAGTTATTTCCTGTTTCGTGTGGCTTGTATTGGACGTCTCTAAGGGTATTGAGAAGAAGAGGAAACAGGGCGTTCTAGAGGAAACAATCCCTCAGTGAACACTCATTCTCACACACATAATAAACAAATCAGCCAAATTCACTCCTACGCAACAGTGGCATTAACTCGCTGATCTCTGATGGTGTTTGTGTGTCTGCGTGATTGTGGGTTTAAAGAAGTGTGTGTGTTTGCATGCTGCACCTGTCCAATCCTAATGGGAGATTTCAGCTAAAACCATGCATGTTTTGCCACGGCTAGTTTGCATGCTCATTTTTGCATTGATGATTACTTGCATGTGTTACGGTAGATTTGATTTGATTTAAAGGGATAGTTCACTCAAAAGTAAAAACTGAATCATTATTTACTCACCCTCACATGATTCCAAACCTTTTATGAGTTTCTTTCTTTTATTAAACACAAAAGAAGATATTTTAAGGAATGCTGAAATTCTGTAACCATTTAGTTCCATAGGAAAAACAAATACAAAGTCAAAGTCATTTCAGCATTCTTCAAAACATCTTATTTTGTGTTCAAGAGAAGAGAGAAACTCATGAAGGTTTGAAACAAGTAAAGAGTCAGTAAATGATGGCAGAATTTTCATTTTTGGGTGAACTATCCCTTTAACGCTTTATCCAGTGACTGACTTGTGTTTTGTGTTGTTAAAATCAGGGCGAGGAGGAACAGTGAGAAATGGAAAGAACCTCAAGACAAGACCAAACAGCGGCTCTCTAAGAAAGCGGCCTCTTCTACCAATTTACTCACAAGGTCTCCAAGTCTGGAAAGGTGAGAGTTTTTTTTTTTTTTAATTGTAGTATGCTATGTACTTATCACTTCTATGTAAGGAAATATTTTAGAGTGAAAAAAATCAAAAAGTAAAGCTCTATCTGCACAATCTATAGATGCTATCAATTAATCCAGAAAAACATTATGCCTCAGACTTCAGTTTATAGAGCAACAGAAAGATTGCCATGGTAACGCATGTATAATGGAGAACCATGGGACAAGGGAGATTTTTGCGTAGCTTATTTAAATTTTTTTTTTCTATTTTTGCGACATTTTAGTAAATAAATCATATAATTTAGTGTATAATTTTTTTGTATTTTCTGTTAAGTTTTTTTGTAATATATGTTTGTTGTTGTATTATTTTTCTTTAAAGGTTTGGTTATTTATTTACATAAATCTAAACTAAATGAAGAACAATCTTTTGGCATTTAAAAAAAATGTAAAGTTTTTGTTTAAATAGTTTTAATTATACTTAAATGTACAATTTATTTACATTTTTTATACATTTTTAAAGAAATGCCATGATTCTTACATTCCTGTTCACAAGAAAAGTGATAGTGGAGTGATAGGAAAACATTTTTTTAAAGTTTTCATGTTACCTCACAAAGATGTTTTGCGTTCCCTCGCAAACTTGTTTTCCATAAGAGGGTGTCTGCTGGATCTTAAAAAGTATTAAAAGTTTAATTATGAGAAAGTTAAGGATTCTTAAAAGGTATCAAAAAGTCACGTTTTTACGAGATATTAAACTTTGTTCAAGCATTGTCCAAAGTGTTTGACTCCAAAAAAACATTATATATTTATTTTCCTCCTAATATTAACAACAACGTGCTCGATCCACACGTTTGGTTCTGGCCGGGGTGCATTTGGCCAATAATAATTGGTCCTTTAAATCTGGTCAAAATCCTCATTTTCTTGTGGGCCACGTTTATGCCATATAAATTCAATTATAATGAATTTTCTTTTGAAATGGCTTCTTCAAAAAATCTGTTTTTAATTTTATAACTCAAGGATATAAAAAATAAGCAAAAGAAGGCTTTGGCTTGGCAATAAAAAAGGCAAACAAAAACACAATTATACAATTTCTTTGTTGCTAAATCTGCATTGAAAAGCTTTTGTGTTTAATTTTCATGTTAAATTATTTATTCACTAATTCATTTATTTGTTTGTCTCCTCAGTCGGGCAAAAGACCTCATCGCCAGTGCTGGTAAGAAGGCATCTGCATTTGATCTCTTTTTTTTTTAATTAATTTCATGTGCTTAAGTTATACATATGTATGGGTTTTATTTTTTATATATATTTTTATTTTGTTTGTGGAGTTTCTGCCTATTAAAAAGAGAGAGTCAGTTCACTATTGTCTCACTATTTATGTCGTTCACAATGCTCCTTTCTATTGTCATGCCTCGCAGTGTTTGATTACTAGAAAAGCTGTCATGGGTTTGGAAAATAAGACACTTTTAACCTTTTTGAAAGTCTCTCACCATGTATTTATTGTCTGTTCAGTTTAATACAGTCTTAAATCACGATCGAAAGTATTCAGTTTCTTAAAAGCAAATGCCAAAGAAGGACAAATACCGTTTACAGGATCAGCAACATGTTGATCAGAGTAGTGATGTCTCAGCCAAACTGTCTTAGTCAACCTACTTTGTTTTTCTAATTAAGATAATTACTGTCATAAATCCTATTACTGGATTATGATTGTTGCTTTACATACTTTAATGTCTGTTTTCATGTCCAAGATTTATTATGTTAATTTAACTGTTTAACCATTCGGTAAAAGAGTGCAATGTGTTTTATTTGTAATAGAATACAATATTTAACTGTTACGTATTTTATAATAAAGTTTCATCTATATAATAATAATAATAATAATAATAATAATAATAATGCATATTATTATTATTATTATTATTATTATTATTATTATTATTATTATTATTATTCAATTCAATTCAGCTTTATTTGTATAGCGCTTTTACAATGTAGATTGTGTCAAAGCAGCTTCACATAAATGGTCATAGTAACTGGAACAGTGTGGTTCAGTAACTGGAACAGTGTGGTTCAGGTTTTAGTGTTTAAGTTCAGTTCAGTTCAGTTTAGCTCAGTTCAGTGTGATTTAATCATTACTGAGAGTTCAAACACTGAAGAGCCAATTCATCGATGCGTAGCTCTACCAATCCTGAACCATGCGAGGCAGTGGCGACAGCGGAGAGGGAAAAAAAACTTCACCTGATGGGAGTGAAGGAAAAAAAACCTTGAGAGAACCAGACTCAGTTGGGCACGACCATTTTAATTTCTCCGCTGGCCAAAAGTCTTGTGCAGAACTTCATTCGCCGTGGTTTAGGCTGGAGGATGGCCTCAGTGAAGACTCGTCTGTCCCTGGAGTGTCGCTGGAATCAGATTCATGTTCTCCACTCCCCACGACCATCAGCGCAGTAATACAATATTATTGTATTACAATTATTATATGAATAGATAAAAATTTATTTTGTTTATCAAATTTTTTATTTTTAACATTTATTTTTTATTTTATTTATTTTATTTAGTTTTATTATATTATACTATATTATATTATATTATATTATGTTATATTATATTATATTTTTTGTTTGATTTTAATTTATTTTTTATTTTTCATTTTGTTTTTTTGTTTAATTTAATTTTTAATTTATTTTATTTATTCATTTTTGCTTTGTTTTGTTTTTATTTTTTTGTTTTTAAATAATATTATTTTAATTTATTTCTTTATTTATTTTGTATTGTTTTTTATTTTATTTTATTTTGCATTTTGTTTTAATTTATGTTTTATTTATTTATTTATTTATTCATTTATTGTTTTTTATTTTACATTTTTTTATTAATTAATTAATTAATTTAATTAATTAATTAATTTTTATTTGTTTTGTTTTTGTTTTATTTTTTTATTTTTTGTTTATATTTTGTTTTATTTTATTTTGTTTTGTTTTTATTTTTTGTTTTATTATTTATTTATTTATCTTTTTTTTTTTTTTCATTCATTTTCTTTTTGGCTTACTGCCTTCATTAATCTGGGGTCGCCACAGCGGAATAAACCGCCAACTCATCACTGGGAAATATCCATACACACTTATTTACACACATACTGTACACTATAAACAATTTTGCCTACCCAATTCACCTGTACCACGTTTTTGGACTTGTGGGGAAAACCGGAGCCCCTGGAGGAAACCTACACAAACACGGGGAGAACATGCAGAATTTCCCCAATTTCTGTTTAACGGAGAGAAGATTTTTTCAACACATTTCTAAAAATAATAGTTTTAATAAATCATTTCTAATGACTGATTCATTTTATCTTTGCCATATTGACAGTAAATAATATTTTACTTTTTTAAAATAATATTTTTAATTTTTCAAGACACTATTAGGTTTAAAGTGCGATTTAAAAGCTTAACTAGGTTAATTAGGTAAGTTAGGGTAATTAGGCAAGTCATTGTATAATAATGGTTTATTCTGTAGCCAAAAAGAAAACATATTTCATAAGGGGGCTTATAATTTTGACCTTAAAATAGTTTTGAAAAAATTAAAAGCTGTTTTTATTCCTTCCGAAATAAAAAATAAGATTTTCTTCAGAAGAAAAAATACTGTGAAAAATTCCTTGCATTGTAAAACATCGTTTAGGAAATATTTAAAAAAGAAAATCACAGGATTAGGAATAATTTTAAAGTTTTTAATTTTAAATAAACAAAAACACCCCAATACTAGATTATAGAACAGATTTGGTCATGCAAACTTGGTGCATTGAGATCACCATGTCTGTAAACATTCATGAGCACCGTCAGATTTGAATTGCCATAACAAGACATCAGTGATGTGTGGTCTTTAAATATTCATCTGTTTGTTTATTCATCATTTATACATCCTTCAGCAGTGAAACACAGAAGTGCTTTTGTTTCTCGTGCTGGAAAGTTACTCTCGTCCGTTATGCAACCGCTTTTCTGACCAAAATGATGGATTTCTGTTTCCTTTTCCCTCCATGCCAAAAACTCACACCACATTTTCACAGCACTTGGCCTCCTCATACGTGTGTGTGTAGCGTTTTAATAATTTACTCACCTGCGCTCTTTAAAACCTGGGAAATATAAATGGAGGGTTTTATTTGACATATCACGACTGAGCTCAACATCAAACACATGTTGTTTCTCCCTCAGGATGAAACCGACACGTTTATGAAATGTTGTTTCGCCGTTACCTGGGTGACTAACATTGACATAACCTTCCTGATGGAGTCGTATATGCTAAATACAAAACCATACACTCTTTTGAGGAACACGAAAGCGATTCGACACAATTCTGATTATATAAAATACTTCAGTGATGTTGTGATGCAGACGTATTTAATCGTTTCTTGCTGTTGCTTTTATTATCATTCCATTACAGTGGACACGCTGATTGACTTGCTTGCCTCATTGCTTTTAAAAGGTCCTGTTCAAAAAGCAGGTTTTCCCTGTTTGATATAGTCCAAAACCAGGTCCAGACAGTGACAGAGATGAGTCAGAGAGGTGTTCCCATCAGAGCTTCCCGTATAGAACCGCTTGGAGACCAGTTGAACTGTAGGAATTTCTAATGTGTTTAGCAGATGCAGAGATAATGTTGTTTGTGTTTTTTTTTTGTCTTTTAACAGGTTCTCAGGGGTCTAGACGAGGAACTCAAAGTAAGTTTTTAGCATGGTTTGAATTCGAAATCATTTTCAAATATTAGAGTTTAAAGTGGAAATATTTACAAAGAGTTTTGAATAAGTTATTTTAATTATTTAAGCAGAACTGGAATACATATCTTAAAGAGACATAATTATAGTAGTTTTCACTACGCTCTTATTACGTTATTATAGGTTTATACTTTGAGTTGATCTTTTAGATTGCCAATACAGGAAGAAGCAGGGTTCAACGCTAGGGATTTTTTTCTATTGGCCCGATTTTTACTTGCCCTGCCAAAATTATCCCTGGCCCCACCAAAAAGAAGTTAGCCATTTAGTTATTCAGCATAACTTTTCTTAAAATACAACTGACAATTTGAAAACGATATATTTAAATACAAAACTGATTAGATTAATTAAAGTCAATGGTTTAGTTGAAAACTACAACAGTTTTATGTTTTTTTGTTTGTTTAAAACCCACTAAAATTCCTAATTTTAGAAACCGGCTCAGTACAATATTTTTATTTATTATTTATTTGTAAACCTATATTTTAAATGCATTTCACTTCTTGTTCTTGCTTGATCCCTCAACATAATAATCATATCAGCCTGTGTTTTAATCAATTATGGCCTTTGAGTTTTTTTTTTTTTATATGTAGACTAAGAATGTTAAAGAAAGTCTATGAAGGGGGTCCGTGCAGGGGTGCATTTCTCGTCACAACACCAGCATTGCAGTCAGATCATGAAGCAATGTTGATCTTTCTTTCCAGGTGTCTAAATGAACAAAACAATTGGTCTAATACAAAATATGAGATTAAAATATGGAAAAATTATCAGAGGGTAATTTCGGTCAATGGATAAACAGCACTCGGTGATATTTCAGCATGTTTTCACTTTCAAATTAACCATGAAATGCACTTTTGACGGTAGCAATGACATCCTGCCCTATTCATCATTCTCTCTTCATATAGTTATATATTATACACTCTGATAAAAGCTGGTTTTGTTTCACTACCATGGAGCCAAGACCTGCTCATTCTGGCGATGTCAGACCGATTGATTTGGTGCGGACTCGAGCACGATTGCGGGATTCACATATGCCACGAACCGCGCTTACCGGGCAAACAAGACAGGTTCCGAAACAAACGTCTGGGCATGAAAGCACACAATTGACAAACAGTCGCAACCAAATTAAACTTTAGTGACAATCGGGCCAGTAACCATTTTGTATACTATTCCGAGCGTATTGCACACTGGCCCCGGGCCAGCTGGCAGTCTTTATTGTTGAGCCCTGAGAAGTGATCGGCACTCATACAAATAGTCTTGTTTTGATGTTTTGTTTTACATCCTGTATACACTGAAGAAGGCTTTGAGCAGAAACATTAGTGTCCCGTTTCTGGACGAATATAAAATAAAACGGCAAAACAAGAATATTTGTATGAGTGCTGATGACCAGGGCGAGATGAAATCTGCAGACGTTTTTTGCCATTTCTGCGGAGAATTTTGGTAAAAATCTGCTTATTTCTGTGAAATTATTTTGGGAGTATCATAACTAAAACCTTAATTAGTAAAATAAAAAGTAATAACGTTTTAACTTTTATTTAATGTTTAAATTGCAAATCTAATTAGATTCACTTTATTTGGTAAACAAAGCAAGTTTCTCATATAATATATATACTACAAGACAGAAAATATTACTTTACAAACTGTATTGTACATAAATCAGATGAACATTTTCATATTAGTCAATAATATTACTGTAATTAATTTAAAAAAACTTAATTAATTTAGATTTACACACATTTACTCAAGTAAATAAACAGAATTAATGATGGGCTTATAATATTTTAATACCCCAAAATGTTATAATACCCCAGACCGCAGACATACTCGCACTTTCCACTTCAAGCTGCTTCTGTGTTCTCCTTTGCTGGCATTTAACCAATAGCGTCTCTGCAACAAAGTGATGTCATTCTGTTTATTATTGTTATATATATATATATATATAACATCTGATTCTGATCGAGTCTGAAACTGCGTAATCAGGCCTGATTTACGATCACGTGATCGGTTCTGCACATCCCTTGTTTTTTCTACTGTAACTTGTTTGGTGTGCTTTGTATTGAAAGGATATATTTACATGTTTGCACTGAGTAGTGAGATGCACTTAATCTCATCGCATATATATTTTATGTATACGTGTACAGTGACAATAAAAGACATTCTATTCTGTTCTATTCTGAAAAAAATGAAGACAGCAAGAATTTTTTTACTATATATCCCTTAATATAGTAAACATTTAGGTCATTCATTTTTTGTTTTTTAAACATTTGCATTCTCATGTTTCATTTCTGAAATGAATGAATGAATTTATTTATTGGCTTACAGATCAGTCAATCAAGATGTTTATCCGTGGGCGACCGATCACCATGTACATTCCTTCAAACATTCAAAACTACGAGGAGCTGAAAATGGATCTTCCGTCACAGAAACTGGATCTGGACTGGGTGTATCTTTAAATGATGATTATATTATTGTTGTTTAAAAATGTATATTGTACACTATATTTTGTAAGTAAGGGTAAAGGTACATCATGGCGGCTGTTATTGCTAAATAAAGCCCAACAGGCTTATCGGCATAAGACTGATGTGCTTTATTCTATGAAAACAACTCCCAAGCTTTTTAAATGGCTACTTGTCACAAAATGTAAAAAAATACACACAAAACATTGTTCTGATCTGTAATAAACTATTAAAGAATAACTATTAATAAAATGAATTAAAGTTTATAAATGAAAGCGGCTGAATGGAGCATACATTAACCTACAAAATATTCAATCACAACTTGATACCTACCAGTCAAAAACAGCAGAGAGAGGGACAAGCATATGGATGTGAATGTATTCGCTGATGGTCAGCATGATTCAAAGTACCTGGATGAGGTATTAGTTTCAGTTCTTAATGGTATTACAAACCTTTGAACTGACCAATCAGAATCAAGTATTTCAGACAGCAGTAATAATATACAATCATATTGTATTTGAATCTTGTAAAATGCATAAATGTACACTGATTTTTTAAAGACGGAACATGTTCGTGAGTATATTGATATTAAAAAGGTTAGTTTGCCCCAAAAATGTAAATTCTGTTAAGAATTACTCACTTGTATGTTGTTCCAATCCCCTGAGACCAGTCTATATTTAGCACAAGTTAGCATATTTTAGATGAAATTACAGAGCTCTCTCATCTTCCATAGACAGTGACAGTCCAGAAAAGGAACCAAAAATATTCCATGTGACTTCAGTGGTTTAACTGTAATCACCCGAAGCTCCTAGAACACTTTTGAGCACCAAAAAAATCAAAACTGCTTTGTTTTTTTTCCTGCATCCTGCCATCTGCATGTGCTATTACTATGGTCAATATGGCGTATTGCCACAAGAATCGGCAGTACAACACACAAGTATCATATTAAGTGTATCAAACACGTACCCTAATCTGATGTGGAAGATTTAAGGAAACAATGACGACTGTCAGGGATTGGAATGACATGAGGGTGAGCAATTAATAACAGAATTTTCCTTTTTGGGTGAACTAACCCTTTAATAATTTAACTTGTTTTAGCTTGTTTTCTCGATATCATATTATTTCGGGATTGTACCCAAGACGAAATGCTTATAACAAGACTCTTCCCATTTATTTAACAAATAGTATCAATCAGCTCTCCAACAATCTGACATGGTCTCTATGTTGGCACATGCAGCACAGCACGACTATTGGCCAACAAAATCTTCAGTCTGTTCTGTCCATTTTCTCATGTTTCATTGGTGGCAGTAAAGCGCTGCCTTGTTTTATTTATAATGTACTGACACAAATGACAGCTGATTTGAAACGGGCACTTGATGCCAAACACTGAATTAGATTTCCTTTATATGATGCATACTTGTTAGCAAATGTTCCTTGACTCATATTTTTTTAGCTATGGTTACCGGGGACGGGACTGCCGAGCAAACCTTTACCTGTTGCCATCTGGAGAAGCAGTTTATTTTATTGCATGTGTGGTGGTTCTGTATCATATCAGCAACCAAAAGCAAAGACATTATCGGAAGCACACAGACTGTGTCAGATGGTGAGTTGAGAGACTTGTGTTTCTTTTTATGTCAGTATTTTATTGACTTTACTCTTACTTCTTGGCTTCCAGTCTCGCCATTCACCCAGATAAGGTGCGCGTTGCATCTGGACAGACAGCAGGTGTGGACAAAGATGGCAAGGTGAGATATATGTATGATCTTCTCTCCCCCCACCACACAACAGCCTCAAATCATTATGCAATTCTGAGTGTGCCTCACACAGGTGAGTGGGCTTGACAAACCACCTGTAGAAAAAACTCTTTCATCGCTCTGATACGTTAACCAACAATTGGACCAGATACTTTCTAATGGTACATTCAAACTAGGGGTTGCATCGATTAATCGACTAGTCTACTTTAGTGCTTTGCCAAGACGTTTTTGATTGATGTCGACTAGTCAGGTTGCGCAGATCACGTGGTTTGACCTGACTTAAACGACAGCTTTACACAAGAAGGTAAGTTCACTGAATGAAACTGCCCTCACATAATTTAAAGTATTTTTAAAAATTACATTTTTCTTATGTCAGCGTCAAAGATTTACGTGAACTTAGAGTGAACATTAAATTGTAAAACAGATGGCAATTAGGTCGCTCCATGCAAATACCCTAGAGCAAATGATCACGTTTTCGCAACAATAGAAAAGTCATGCGATTGGCCGTTGTCCTCTGCGAAGCATAGACCCGAACATATTTTGTGAATGAACCGTGAAGCGCACAGAAACCATGTGCAGTTGTGGGGGTGTGGCAAACTTCACAGCATGTGTAAACATTATCCACGGTGAATATGATGAAGATGTGCAGTTAGGAGACGTTTCTTTTGTACAGTATGTTTTGACATAGTTTGACTGTTTAGGCAGCAACTTTTAAATGATATGACTTAATATCTGATCTTTGCATCTGTTGAATTATACCATCCTTCATACATAAGCATGATTGATTATTGTATACATTTTCCACAAATACAAATGTAATGTGCCACAATGTGGTCTTAAATACAGCGGTTTCATTGGCTGTCATGATTATTAACACATTTACATAAGCAAATCTCACATCTTTTGTTTAAAGACTTTTGGCCTGATCACCTTTTATATTGACAACTTTCCTAAGTAAACTCTGTTCAAAGTGAACTTAATAATAGCGTGTGCTAAAACATGTGCTTGACAGAGATGTTCTAAAATTTAAATTGTCCAATGCCCGTGCTTTTCTTATGAAAGATGAAGTTATAAATGATACAAAATGTCTTTATTGAGTTGTGGATTACTTTGAGTCTCTCCCAATGCACTCATCAATGTGAATGGATATGGTTTTTGACTATTGTCTTTACTAATTGTGGAGTGTTGACCCGCTTATCCTCTATTAATAACCACTTCACAAATCACAGACATATTTCAGTTAACCAGTTAATGCAAAATGGAGATATACTTGTGAAATCAACTACTTGTTTATAAAACTTGTGCCTAAATTTGTGGACAAAAACATTAGTAACAACTTGTCATTGTCATTGACCCACTTGTGTATTCTGTGTTTGTCAGCCTCTTCAGCCCTTTGTGCACATCTGGGACTCTAAAACGCTAGTGACACTGCAGCAGATTGGTCTCGGCATATTTGAGCGAGGTGTCGGAGCCATAGCATTTTCCAATTCAGTGAGTTTTGCCTTCAATTTTGCATTCTTTCCTGCTGAAACGCGACACAGAGAGGGAATTTAGTTTTGTTCCTATGTACAATAAATGTGAAATATTATAAAAAGATATAAAGTATTTGAGAATATTGTAATCCAGGATCCAAATACTTTTTAGTCTGTGTGTTTTTAGACTAGGAACTAAGGCTAGGCGTTGACACAGATTTGATGGTTCAATTAAAATATAGTAGATTTAGAATATAAACTTTTTTTAACTTGTAATACATTTTAATTAGGGTGACACGGTGGTGCAGTAGCTAGGGCTGTCGCCTCAAAGCAAGAAAGTCGCTGGTTCGAGCCCCAGCTGGGTCAGTTGGCATTTCTGTGTGGAGTTTGCATGTTCTCCCCGTGTTGGTGTGGGTTTCCAAGTGCTCTGGTTTCCCCCACAGTCAAAGACACGCTGTAGGTCAATTGGATAAGCTAAAATGTCCGTAGTGTATGTTGTTATGTCTTGTTCCTCCAGGTTGAGGGTTGAGCGTTGGGCTAACAACCCACCTCATAAAAAAAATATGAGTATATTCATAATATGAGTATATTCAAAAAATAATATATTCTAAAAAAAAACAATATGGTGCAACTAAATATCAACTTCGATATAAATGGCCCTAGGAGTAAGTAAGTAATACATTTTAGTTTGCTACACAATTATGTTTATATTCTGTTAAAAAAATTGCTGCAAATAATATTAAAGTCCACATGAAATCAAAGTTTAAAATGTTTATTTTGCGAGGGGACATTGTTAGTCTTAAGTCTTAAGATTTTTTTTATCCCATTATTGAGTCTGTTTATTTAATTATGGAAATGTGTGTAAATATTTATTTATTCAGTTTTATTTTAATTTCAGAAATATTATTGACTAATATCCAAATGAAATATTTCTCATATTCCTTAAAAACAATCTTTCTGCTATATTTGCATTGTAAACTATAAATAAAAGTTAAAAAATATATATTTTTATTTCATATTTTAAGTTTTAGTTGCTATACTTTCAAAATCATTCAGTATTTTTACTAATTTCTATATAGAAAAAGCCAAAAATGTCGGCAGATTTTGTCTGGACCTGGTCTTAAGGTGAAAAATTGATCCATTAAGTTAATCCACTGAACAATCCACAAAACATGTTTGGTATTCTTTAGTCAAAATCTGACCATTTTCTTCAGCTCTCGAATGGCAGTGCTTCTCTAATGATGTCAGTTTCACAGCTTCTCCCTAGCCACGCCCCTCAAACCATTACTATCCTGCAAGTGAAAGATGAGAGGAGGAGTGCAAAAATAAAACCCCACCCCCTACTCAATATTCCGTTTTAGAATCATACTGAAATAAATCTGCCGCAGCTTCTGGTTCACACCCAAAAGTGAAGTTTTGTTCTCACATAAACAAAAAAATGTAGACAAGATTTTATGATTCTGCTAGAAACTTTTTTTCTTCTAGAAATTCAGTCAGTCTTTGGGATATTCATTTTCTTTTCGGCTTAGTCTCTTTATTAATCGGGGTCGCCACAGCAGAATGAACAGCCAACTTATCCAGCATGTATTATGCAGCGTATGCCCTTCCAGCTGCAACCCATCACTGGAAAACACCTATATACTTCCATGCACACACATACAGTTTACCCAGTTTACTTTCATGCGCACACATACAATTTAGCTTAACCAATTCACCCAGAGTCTTTGGACCTGTGGGGGAAACCAGAGCACCCGGAGGAAACCCACTCAAACTTGGGGAGAACATGCTAACTCAACACAGAAATGCCAGCTGATCTAGCCGAGGCTCAAAAACAGTGATCTTCTTGCTGTGAGGCGAGAGCATAAATTATGAGAGCATAAGTTAAGCGAGAAGAAATTGTTATTTATTTTAAATACCTACATTTTGAGATACATCTCATCTTGACTTTTTGTCTTTGTATAGGATGGTGGTACATTCCTGTGTGTTATTGATGATTCCAATGAGCACATGCTTTCTGTGTGGGACTGGAATAAAAACATAAAGCAAGCCGAAGTCAAGGTTTGTACACGCACACACACACACACACACACACACACACACACAGTGCATAATAACATAATTGAGTACACCCCATTTTGAAAATAAATATTTTTATTTATTTCTTAGTAAATATAGGTCTTATATTTTGGTGCGTCTAAACACAGCAGATTTATTAAACAGTTATATTTATTAAAATCATATTTTAGTCACCAAACATATTTAGAAATACAAACATTATACATTTAACTTCAAGCAAAATATGGGGAAAAATCTACAAACTACAAAATTTCAACAAAATTTGATCAGTTTTTGTTTCTATTCAATTTTGCTCTTTTTAACTTTTTAATCTAATATTTTTCCTGACATATACATTGGGGTGTACAAATTTTAGACCATTATTGTAGGTTATTTTTTTATCAAATTAGCTTCAGCTTTGGCTTTAGTACTGACTAATCTAATGTATATGCACAAATATAATATTGTAAAGCTTCCTGTAGAAAATATGAAGCTAAAAAGAGAGATTTGTGAGGGGAGTACTCATATACACTCACCAGCCACTTTATTTGGTAGACCTGTCCAAGTGCACGTTAACACAAATTTCTAATCAGCCAATCACATGGCAGCAACTCAATGCATTTAGACATGTAGATATGGTCAAGAGAATCTGCTGCAGTTCAAACTGAGCATCAGAATGGGGAAGAAAGGGGATTTAAGTGACTTAGAACATGGCATGGTTGTAAGTGCCAGACGGGCTGGTCTTAGTATTTCAGAAACTGCTGATCTACTGGGGTTTTCACGCACAACCATCTCTAGGGTTTACAGAGAATTGTCAGAAAAAGAGAGAATATCCAGTGAGCAGCAGTTCTGTGGTAGCTTGTCGATGCCAGAGGTCAGAGAAAAATAGCCAGTATGGTTCAAGCTGATAAAAAGGCCAAAGTAACTCAAATAACCACTCATTGCAACCAAAGTATGCAGAAGAGCATCTCTGAATGCAAAACATGTCCAACCTTGAGGCGGATGGTCTACAGCAGCAGTAGACCACACCGGTTGCCAGTCCTGTTAGCTAAGAACAGGAAATTGAGGCTACAATTGGCACAGGCTCATCAAAATTGGACAATAGAAGATTGAAAAAACATTGCCTGGTCTGATGAGTCTTGATTTCTGCTGCAACATTCATTCAGATGGTGGGGTCAGAATTTTGGCATCAATACGATGAAAAAATGGATCCATTCTGACTTGTATCAACGGTTCAGGCTGGTAATGGCGGTGTAATGGTGTGGGGAATATTTTTTTGGCACGCTTTAAGTTCATTAGAACCAATTGAGCTTCATATGAATGCCAAAGAAAGCCTACCTGAGTATTATTGCTGATCATGTCCATTTCTTTATGACCACAGCATACTCATCTTCTGATGGCTACTTCCAGCAGGATAACACGCCATGTCATTAAGCGTGAATCATCTCAGACTGGTTTCTTGAACATGACAATGAGTTCACTGTACTCAAAAGGCCTCCACAGTCACCAGAACTCAATTCAATAGAGTAACTTTAAGATGTGGTGAAATGGGAGATTCATATCATAGACGTGCTGCCGACAGCAGCATCTACTTGATGCTGTCATGTCAATATGGGTCAAAATCTCTGAGGAATGTTTCCAGTACCTTGTTAAATCTATGCCACGGGGGATTAAGGGCCTACTCACACTATGCCATCCGTATTGTGCCCAGGCCCGTTTCCCGGATCGTTTGAGAAGTGTGAGTGCGCTGAATCGGGCTCAAGCACGGTTCACTTGGCCGACCCTGGCCCATTTGGAAGAGGTGTGCCTGAGCTCGGTTCACTTGGGCTTTGGCGTGGTACGCTTGTGTGTGAGTGCGAAACGCGCCAAAGCCCGAAACTGAAAGCAAGACATGACTTTTAAGAGGCTGTTTCATATGGATTTATTAATCATTCTTACTGTTCAGTGAACGCAAACTGCCGTAGTTTATTAAAGATGCAAACTCCTCACAGCACGACAGCTGCGCGCCTTCAGCAGACCTCCTCATTCCTGCAGCACGAGAGCTTTATGATTGTTTATGAGCGCCAAAAGTGGCGGATCTGTTCGGCGAAATATCTGACTGCGTGTCCCCGCATCCCTAAGGACTGTTTGGCGAAATATTTGACGGCATATCAAACGACTGAAACAATATAACTACAGAAATCTCCACTCTGCTGCTGAGTGAGAGAGCGCTTCTCACTGAACAGCCCAGCAGCGATGACGTAAGCATGCCGAAGCCCGTTTGTGGTGTGAGCGTGGGCCGTCGGGGGAGATGGGATGGGGGACAAGCGTGCTTTGGCCCGGTTCGAGGCAACTGTACCTAGTGTGAGTACGGCCTAAGGCAGTTCTGAAGGCAAAGGGGGTCCAACCCAGTACTAGTAAGGTGTACCTAATAAAGTGGCCGCTGAGTGTATGTTGAGCACTGTATGTTATCTACCATTACAGCATCCACACGAGTCTACACAGATCTAGTTTACATTCTCATGTTTAATAGTCTAGAAATTGAGCACATTAAGCACATGCACAATATTCCCTAATAAAAAAATGTGGATTTCGACCCTTCATCATGTCTGAAAGTCTCATAAATTACTTCCCAATATATTTCAGTTTTGAAAGTAAATCATCCCTGTGATTATTTCAGCAGCTCTTGACTGAATATCCAGCCAGCTGCTTCTAGCCTGAGTGTAAAACCATCAGCTTTATAGTGGAGATTTGCTTTTTTTTTAGTTCTGTGTGACCCTTTATCCTACATGTTTCTTCCCACATCTTCGTCATCGGCGTTGAGCGTGGTTTCCATGGAAGCAGCTAAATATTTTACAGTACATTTGTGTGAGCGATTGCTGGCCGTTTGCATGAAGTCATTTTTCTTCCTCGTGTTTTATTTTTGGGCTGTGCGGCTGGTAATAGATTTAGGAAGTTGTAGACTTAGAATAGCATGACGCTTTTCATGGAAGTTCAGTTTGCTGACAGAAGTTAATCCTAGATTTGCGTCAGACTTTTTCTTTTTTTTTATTGAAGTATGTTTGGGGGATTTCTGGAAACAATAGTGCCTAAAGATTTATACACATAACATAGTTGCTGTGCGAAATTAAAGACCATGAACGGGTTTTAAAAATAAGGTTATAAGCAATGATATTATCTTCTGCAGAACTTTGAAGATGTAGTTACAGTTTCTGTATTATACCTTTTAATAATATAGGAAAATGACAGTGATTTTCTGTCATTACACTGTCAAAAGCTGCTATTGGAGTTGAGGATTGACTGGATGTTTAAAGCTGAATTGCCAGTTTTCTTCTGTAATAACAGAGCCACTGGCACACGATCATATATACACTGTGGAAAACCATATGCCTTTATGATGTGTGTGTGTGCTTGTTTATATGATTTATGAGGACACGTGGGTTCATGACCTAGATATTACAATGTCGAGGTGATTTATGTAGACATGCATTGTGTCTTCATCTGTTATAATCATACTTATTTGTTTTGTTAATTTGCTACTGGTTTCCTGTGAGGGTTGGGTTTAGGAGTAGGGTAGGGTAGGGTCATATAATAAGTGTTTTTTACAGTATAAAATACATTATGTCTATGAGTAGTCTTCTTGCAAATATTAACCTGTCTGTGTGTGTGTGTGTGTGTGTGTTCTTGTTTTAGAGCACTAATGAGGCAGTTTTGGCTGTGGATTTCAGCCCTACAGACACCAACAACATCATCTCCTGTGGCAAATCCCATGTCTACTTCTGGACAATGAGTGCTGGCACAATGACCAAGAAACAGGGCATCTTTGGAGTGAGTTCATGTTTGGCCACCAAGTTGCATATATACAGTCGAAGTCAGATTATTAGCCCTCCTTAATTATTAGGCCCTCTGTATATTTTCCCCCAAGTTCCGTTTAAAGGAAATACAATTTTTTCAACACATTTCTACACATGATCATTTTAATAACTCATTTCTAATTACTGATTTCTTTTATCTTTGCCATGATGACAGTAAATAATTTTTTATTAGATATTTTTGGAGGTATTAGTATTCAACTTAAAGTGCAATTTAAAGACTTAATGATGGTTTGTTCTGTAGACAATCGAAAAAAATAAGACAGTTAATTTATTGACCGTAAAATATTTTTTTTAAAATTGCTTTTATTCTAGCCATAATAAAACAAATAAGACTTTCTCCAGAAGAAAAAAATATGATAATATAAAATATAGAAATATTAAAAATATTATTGTTGTGCCAAATGTAAGAACAGTATTCAGAATAGAAAAAGGAATGAATGGGTAAATATACCATTAAAAAACTGAAGTTAGAATTATTTATTTTAAATAAATTAGATTAGACTTGATTTATAATTTTAAAAGTGAAACTACTGTTGGACAAAATGTGCTATTGTAAAATGTGCATCTGTTTTAGAAACAAATCCTAACCTGTGTTCCTGTTGCGCATGTTTTGATGGCAACTGCATTACATAGGCCACTTTGGAATAAGTGACTTCTATTCTGGAAAATATTGTACACAATTTTTGTTAGTGCGTAGATAGTGTATGATTAGGTTTAAAGGCTCTCGTTGATTGCTCTCTGTGTGTCTTTACAGTAGTAATTGTTTGCCATTTTTGATTTAGTTTTTTTGTTCATTCATTTACAGAAATACAAAAAGCCAAAGTTTGTGCTGTGCTTCGTGTTCAGTCTTACGGGGGATGTGTTGACGGGAGACTCCGAGGGGAACATTCTCACTTGGGGAAAATCAGCTGCTGACATCAAAACATTAGGAAAAGGAGCAAAGGGTGCGTGAAATGACTTTATGGTTTTAGCTTGCAAGGGTTAGGATTAGGGACCTTTTTTTGAAAGATGATATTAAACAAAATGTTAAACTGTCTTTTTGGTCCCACTTGGTATTAAGTGGCTTTAAGTGATATGTACTCACACTGAAATTAATCATTTGTTACAATGTGCTTATTGTGTAAATACATGTTTTTACATTGTACTTATGATTGATTAAATACCTGCATGTAATTAAATCTGTAATCGATTTCTGTAATTACACCTTTTATTTACACCATGGACCATCCCCTTCACCTTAACGTACCCTTAAACCTACACATCAAAACAAACATGTTCCCAACCTTACCCGTATCCTACCTTAAGAGCACCAGAAGAGTTCAGCAATACATTATAAACACTGTAAGTACAATGTATTTAATTTTGATGCAAGTACATACTAGTTGAGGCCACTTATTATAAAGTGAGACCATCTTTTTTTATTGTTATGGAAATCTGAGTGAAGCAACTTCTTGAAGTTGATAGAACAAATGTAGGGTGGGACTTGATTTTGTTCATTAAGAATGTGATAGATGTTTGACGTTTGCTATTCAGTCAATAGTATACAAGTCATAATTTGATCCCACTCTTATTCCAGTAAACTAATTACCAGAGAATATGTTGTTTAACAGGGAGACACATGTTTGATTTATATTATATAAAGATGTCATGGAATAAAAATCTGGATATATAAGTATAATAAGTGTTTGGTACATAAGAGGAAGTTTTTGTTACATGGAATTAGCATACTGTGAGCCTCAAACACTTATGCCATCACGAAGAGGCATAAGATCTCTTTAAATATATTTTTGGTTAGTTTAACATGTATATAGAGAAATTTGGCTTGTATGTTTGTAATGAGGCAACAAAACATGAATATAGACTGCTGAATATAAGTGTTTAATACACGTTATGCACCTTGTCATATCACTCAGCTCTTACTATGATTTTTCTTGAGTTTCGGACAGCATCAGTTTATGCAGAGGTTGGTTTTAATTCCTGCATCTGTTTTTTTATATACGTTAAAACCACAAAATACAAAGCTAAATACATTTCTGTTGGCCAGTTTTGTAATTAAGCCTGTTATTTCACCCACAACCCAGCCCAGGAGCAAACTTTCACTTAATTTACTAACCCCTACAGAAAATGTATTTTTGACAACTGAAGGATGATTATTTTGAGTTGTGTATTTCAGAGTACATCACGCTCTGTGTGTGTGTGTGTGTGTGTGTGTGTGTGTGTGTGTGTGTGTGTGTGTGTGTGTGTGTGTGTGTGTGTGTGTGTGTGTGTGTGTGTGTGTGCGCGTGTGTGTGCGCACGTGTGCGTGTGTGTTAATATTCATGACCTTTCCAAATATGGTCAAAGCTTCAGTGGAGCCCCCAGAAAATTTTCTTAGGGGTGGCCAGAAGAGGCCGCACTAAATCTTGGGGTGGCACACAAAAAAAATAATGAATTCAGTGTAATGTTATATTTTTGTTTCTGGTAAATGAAATAATGTAGTTTTTATTAATTTAATTAATTCTACTTGAAATATTGCAATTTATTCTTTGAAATAATTCAGCAAGTACATGTGCAAACCAAATAAAAATCTATGTTTAGTTTAAAAACACTTTTCATATACTGTATAAATAACTTCTTTTTTTACGTGCCTTTATTGTACATCATACGAGATATGCCATGTCTAAAATTAATGAAGATTAATGAGTTTATTATTCCCAGAGATGGGTTGCAGCTGGAAGGGTATCCACTGTGTCAAAATGTGCTAGATAAGTTGGCGGTTCATTCTGCTGTGGTGACCCTGGATTAATAAAGGGACTAAGCCGAAAAGAAAATTAATGAAAGAATAATGAGTTTATTAATTACCCAAACAAATGAACAAACTGAACAAAAGGGATTACTATACACACTCACTATACCTAATAATATTATTTTATCCATATTGCTTTTTGAACCATTTTATTAATGCAGCTTCTTCTATTGATATACTGTAGCTTAAGGTAAATATTAAATAGCCATTGCTGTCTATTGAAGGTGTGTGCGTGCTGTCAAGGACGATCGGGGAGGGTAGTGGTGGTTCTAGTTTAAATGACACCCTGGGCGAACCACCCTATACACCCCCACCTCTCTTGAATTGTTAGATTTGTTATTCAATAAATATAACAATTTATTTATATTTATTCTAAATAAATACAATTAATATTAATATACAATTATTATTCTAAATAAATAACAGAAATCAGTCCTAAATATTACTGGAAAACAACAACTGGAGTGATATGCCAAGATCACTTTAGAAACCTTTTGCATGAAAATTAATTATGACAATTCTAAAGAAAACAAAAAAATGTATTATAGAATTATCTGTGATCTTAGACCAGATCATGGCTGAGAAATCATGTTATGAAGTCTTACCTCCCTGAATCATTATCCCTCCTTTCTGCTTTAAAGGCATGCTTAGTGAAAGTAACATCATCATCATCATCATCATCATCATATTATATAAACTTTAAACAACTTTCAAAACTCGCTGCGTGCCGACACCTCTGCACAAAAGGCTGTTACTCCGGTTTCACGGCGCATGAGCGGTGCCTATTATGTCGGCGTGCATGCAAACAACCAACCGGGATTCACAAAGGAGTGCGTGAGGCGCGCGGGAATGGTTTTCCGCGCGCATGCGTCAGTTTGCTTTCACCAGCATTGAACCAGAGGGGGAGAGCTACGTCGGTAACACCAACAATAATTTAGTGACTGCATTTTATTTATTTATTTATCTAAATATTGGGAATTTATGAGTTCATTTAAATCAATAATGTCAACCGCAAAATTATATTGGGGTGGCCACAGGGGTGGCCAGAGTTCACCGAGGGGTGGCCGTGGCCACCCCTGGCCACCCCTTGGAGGCGCCCCTGCAAAGCTTGATATTGACCATATTTGGAAAGGTCATGAATATTAACATACACATCCTAAGGGTTATTTTTGTGACTATAGAAGAAAATATAAAACCGTTTCTGAAGAATCTTTGCACTTACCTAAGCCACATACCCACTTTGCAAAAATTAGAGAACAATTTAACATATTGAATCGATTTACTCTATGGTACCTTTAATGTTGTTTTAGTGATTGTTTATTTAAAAAAACTATGTTTACTCTAAAATCTCCTTTTTTCTTCTCTCCTTGCAGAGACGTTTCAGATCATGAAGCAGACCCGTGCTCATGAGGGCAGTGTGTTCACTATGTGCATCCTGCAGGGCGGCGCTATACTAAGCGGTGGCGGCAAAGACCGCAAGATCATCCGCTGGAGTGCAGACCTGGCGCCTGAAAGAGAGTGTGAGGTAAACCATGAGTCTGTGAGAATTGTGCGTTTATAGCTCTGTATAGGTTATTGAATATGAAGGTATAGCATTGATTGTATAGCTTGTAATCAGAAACATTCTGAATGCTCTATGTTCTTCCAGATTCCTGAGAAATTTGGAGCAGTGCGCACCATTGCAGATTTAGATGGAGAAGAGCTGCTCGTTGGCACAACACGAAATGCAATCCTCAGAGGGACATTTTCAGACGGTTTTGTGGCCATTGTACAGGTAAATAGACTGCATTTGTATTTCAATTAGGGTCTTTGTTGTAAATGAATACCAGAGATAAACTAAAATAACTGTTATTTATAAAAAAATAACACATATTGAATTTGAAATCGACTTTAGATAGATAAATAAAGTTGGGATAATTTAGTGTAAATAAAAAATTTAAATGGATATTTCTTCAATTGTCAGGGACATGTGGATGAAATGTGGGGTCTTGCCACACACCCCACTCAAAATATCTTTGTTACCTGTGGAAATGATCGTCAGCTGTGTGTGTGGAACGCAGAGGACCACAGACTGGACTGGTGCACAACACTAGAGGTCAGAGAAGTCACTGAAGGTTAAGCACACAAAGTATTTTATGTGTGTATCACTGGCTTTATACTACACTGTATACTGACACCTGTTAGAATGTTTTTGTGTGTGTTTATCAGTTGATAGTAAATACTCTTTATACAGTTAAAGGCAAAATTATCAGCACTTCTGTGCAACTTTAATTCTTTTTCAAATATTTCTCAAGTAATTTTTAAAAAGCAAAGACATTTTGGCAAGAATAAAAAAAAAACTATTGTAATAAAATGTAAAACTGCTAAGGTAAATAAGAAATTATTTTTGTTCAGCTGGCTACAGACCAAACTACTGTTAATAATAATAATAATAATAATCATACATTTTATTTATAATGCACTTTTCTAAGACCCGAAGCGATACCACAACAGAGAAATCAAACATGCAACAAAATACATGTATACATAAGAAAAAGTTCTGAAATATAAACACAAAATAATCAAGAATCTAAAAATGCAGTCTTAAAAAGATGAGTTTTTAGCATCTTCTTAAAACTAGCTGGTATGGAAGCATTTCTTACAGAATAAGGGAGAGCATTGTATAACCTGGAGAAGGCTCTCTCCCCCATTGATTTTAGTCCCCGTTTACACTAATGCATTTTCATTTTAAAAAGCAAAAGTTTTGCTACGGTTACGACATCCGTCCACACTACGTTGTTTTCGGGCCCCTGGCCAGTGCCCATAATGCCTATTGGTTAATCCAGCCCTGATTGTACTAATGTACATTGAAAAAGCTTGCTGTGATTTTAATCTTTCTGTTCGTAAAAAAATCCTTTTTTTTTACGAACCCAACCTTTGTTGCACAGCTGAAAGAATTTGATATTATGTGCATTCCTGACTTAAAGTAAATAGTGTCACAGCATGCCTAAACATGCTTGGAAAGATTTTTTCGAAAGAAGTCTCTTATGGTAATTAAGGATGAATTTATATGATTAAAAAACAATACAATATTTGATGTATGATTTAATTTTTTATGCTTTTTTATGCTTTTTTAAAATACAATACAAAAATATATATTGTTATATTACATTGCTAGTATTTATTGTAATTAGTTTAATATTGTTTTTGTAATGTATTATTTACTGTATCATATATAGTGTTTTTATTTGACATAAACATAAATGTCACATTACACTGCAGAAATTTATTTTCCCAATAACTGATAATTCTTTTGACAATATAAATGTAAAGAATAATGACTCTTGAAAAAAGGTTTCCTAAAAAGAATAACATTTTTACAGTTTTTTTTCCACTTCTGACTAAACCTGATCTTATATCAGTGTGTGATTTTAAACATTCATCAGTATAACAGTTCATTCATGTAAGTGTAAATCATCCACACAGTATTATCAAACATGTTCTGTAATGTGAAAAATGAATCAGAAACACATTCGTCTCGGCAGGACTCTGGTCTGTGTGCTGATTTCTGCCCTAATGGAGCTGTTGTGTCTGTTGGACTGAGCACTGCAAGGTAAAAAACATTTACTCACAGCACAGCCGATAACAATTACCACTTCACTTTTACAGTGTGCTTGTGAAATGTTTTTAATGGCTTTTTTGATGGTTTTCCAACCTCTCACCCATGTAGATGGGTTGTGCTGGATCTGCAGACTAAAGAAGTGGTGGCAGACCTGATTGACGGCAATGAACAGTTGTCTGTAATGAGATACTCACCAGGTCAGAGTTCAACAAGATCATTGTGCAATCAAAATAATAATATAATACTGTATAATACTAAGCATACATGGCGAATTTCACAATATACAAGTTAAACTAACAAACGATACATTGAAACCTCATGCCTCTTCAGGGTGGCATAAGTGTTTGAGGCTCATGGTATGCCAATTCAATGTACTGAACTTTTATTATTCAGCTATGCTTAGGTTTATCCTGATTTTATTCTCTGGATTGTTCTCTTGAAATGTGATCCAAATATTTGTAACTTGAAATAGATGGAAAATCTGCGATTTATGTTGTGCTTCTATGGAAATTTCAGCGTAGCTGCTATAATGACCTATTGTTTTTATGCCCACCAGGTCTCCGCAAAAGTTACGTGACTTAAAACTATCAATGGAATTTTTAAATATAATATAATATAATATAATATAATATAATATAATATAATATAATATAATATAATATAATATAAAAATGTAATATAATATAATAAAATAAATGTAATATAATATAATATAATATAAAAATGTAATATAATATAATATAATACATTTAATATAATATAATAAAATAAATGTAATATAATATAATATAATATAATAAAATATAAAAATGTAATATAATGTAATGTAATATGATAAAATGTAATAAAATGTAATATAATATAATATAATAAAATGTCATTTAATATAATATAATGTAATGTATTGTAATATAATAAAATATAATATAATATAATATGATAAAATATAATGTAATCTAATGTAATATAAAATTATATAATGTAATGTAATATAATATTATAAAATGTAATATAATGTAATGTAATATAATATAATATAATATAATATAATATAATATAATATAATATAATATAATATAATTTAATATGGTTTAATATGATATAATATAAAGTAATATAATATAATTTAATTTAATATATAATATAATATAATATAATATAATATAATATAATATAATATAATTTCTCTGTTTCTAGCTTGATTGTGCCCTGTGTTTGAGTTTACATGCACATTGCTCTGTTTACAGTCAATAACTTGTATTTTACTGCTCACCCAAACACAGATGGCAGCTTTTTGGCAGTTGGTTCGCATGATAACTTCATCTACATTTACAGCGTCACCGAGGGTGGCCGGCGCTACACGCGATTTGGAAAATGCACTGTAAGCGATGCATGCTGGGAAAACGCATGGGTAAAACTGTTTTGAGGCAAGACACTGCAGGCAAAAAATAGATATTCATTGCGATTTTGATATTTTGAGCTTTTTGGCTTTTTTCGTTTTCTTTTTTTTTTTTTTTGATAGAAAAAATATCCAAAATACACTTTTAGGTGTTTGTTTTGTCATTCTTCATCAGTTTGAGGTTTCAAATAGTCCATATTTTTAAAGACTGAGCTATAAATCCCCACTTCAGCAGCTTTACATCAGTAAAATTCACAGTTTTATACATATCTATTCTAAAGAAGGATGTTTTCATGCCTTATTTACCTGTTTACACACATTACATTTAATTCTACAAAAAAGTATTGTTTACAACCAAAAGTATTGGTTACAGTATTGTTGCTGTTTACAGTATATTGTAAATTATAGAGTGATAAAGCGAGTCCTAAAATCCCCTCTAAAAAAAACATTTGACTGTAATAAGTCTAAAAAAACTAAGAATGAAACTAGAATTTTGACCCTGAATTCATGCAGTTTAAAAATGTTCACTTGAAATGCTAGAAAATAACTACAGGGGTTCCTATACTTTTCAGCCCACGGCCCCAAAATAACAATGCCAGGGACTTGCAACCCTCAATATCCTCTGATATATAAATATATAAACCTTGCACATACCAATTTGGCCAATACTGTTCATCGTTTAATTTTGAAGAACGTCACTCAGAGACCATCCTCCATGTTTAGTTGTAGCTTGTATTTATTTGTGATGTACATGAGTGACATAAAGGTTTCAGAAAGTATAACCTGGTGCTATAAAATCAATGTACTGTGTCTTTACAGTTTTTCTCCATTGGTTTGGCTCATTTCCTGAAACAGAACTTACATTCTCAAAATAACATGGACAAACCTCTAAACCATTTGGCAATTGTTCACAACAGAATTGAACTTCTTATTCATTTCATCAAATTGCAAACGTCTAAGTACATCTTTGCAAATGATTAAGTTCAGATAGCCTACATTTAGCACAAATTGCAAGTGAATAGATCTTGTTGATCTAAACTGATCAGTTATTTTCAGTCTAATGGTTGTTCTCTCCAAAATGTGTCAGCGTCATATCATTGTATATGTCATTACATGCACAATAGTCTGTTTGATTGTCAAAATTAGTCAAGACCATAATACCTTCAATACCATACAGTAGGTGAATCCTAGAACATGTGATTACAATTTATTACGTCTATTTATTCTGTTAGCTCTGATATGTGGAAGTAACTTTGTGTGTGGTTGATCATTACAATAAAAAAGGAGTAACCATTACCTTAGCAGTATGAGTGCAATGTGTGACGTCAAACCTCGGAGGCTATTCTTACCCTAAAATCCTATTTCTTTTTTTTCAGTTTAATACACAACTGTATTCTGTTAGCAAGACAAAAACAGTACAGTAACCATTGTCATTGAAGGACTGGGCTAAGATTGTAAGGCGGACATGAGGGATATTTTAGTGGTCCTGTGCCATAATGATAAAACATCTAAACATTTTGACCTGCTGTGCTTACACAATGCTGAAGGGACGAATCATTTTGGGGGTACTGACTGTTTAAATGAGAAGGAAATTTACTTTTGACACATGAGTGAACTGTTTTGGGAAAGATATGAGCTTTTGCAAGTGAGCTATAGTGTTGTGCTAAACTGTAACACTGTTTAGCCAAATGATCTTAGAATTTTGAGAATTAATTTCTGTTTCAAGGAAGGAGTCAAACCAATGCAGAAAAACTAAGCAGCCCAGGGGTCATAAAAGAATGGAAAGGCTCATGGCTTCTTATTTGCTTGTTGTTGTTTTTTTAATGTAGCTATTAAGTACTATTTTTTTCCTCTGTAGGTTATAGATAACATATGGTTTTGTAATAGTTTCATAAAATAAATTTTTAGAAATCACCAAGCGACAACCTGCAACCCCCCGACTTTGGGAACCACTAAATTAGTATATATTTAAACTTCAAAATGTGTTGTTTACAATAATGTAATGTAATAAATCAACTGTGTATGGTATGGTAAAAAAAACACCTGCAGTGTCTTGCTTTGAAGGGATAGTTCACTCAAAACTGAACATTTTACCACTATTTACTCTCCCTCAAGTAATTACAAACCTTTATGTATTTCTTTATTCTGTTGAACACAAAAGAAGATATTTTGAAGAATGTTAGATTCATGTAACCATTGACATTCATAGTAGAAAAAAAACAAGTCAATGTTTACATTTTTCAACATTTTTCAAAATATCTTCTTTTGTGTGTATTTATTCATGTTCCTTTGGCTTAGTCCCTGATTTATCAGAGGTTGCCACAGTGGAATGAACCACCAATTTTATGTTCATCAAAGCAAAATAATCAGTTTGTGACAAGCTTATGGTGAGTAAATGATGACAGAATTTTCAGTTTTTGTGTAAACTGACCCTTTAGTGTACTTTGTTATAGTAATTAGTTGTGTATGTGGTTGTCTAGTAGTGTATTTGTGTAAGAGTGCACTATTAGTGACGTAGATTAAACTGTTAATTACAGGGACACTCCAGTTTCATTACTCACCTCGACTGGTCCAAAGATGGGAAATTCATCATGTCTAATTCGGGCGATTATGAAATTCTATACTGTAAGTCTGCATGCCTGCTTGTGTAGATGTTGAATTCCATTCATGGAAGACAGTGAGTAATGTAAATTGTAATGAATTTGGACGGTTGTTTTTGTGGAAAAAAGGGGATGTGGCAAGCGGCTGCAAGCTGTTGAGGAACCGGTTCGAGAGTAAAGATCGGGAGTGGGCGTCCTATACCTGTGTGCTTGGATTCCATGTTATGGGTGAGTGAAGATCTCTTCTTTTTTCATTTCATTTATTAGTGGTAATTTATTACAAGTCATTTCTTTAGTCTTGTAATGTTATTTAAGTTATTTTACAAGATACTAGTATTCAGCCTGAAGTCTAATTTAAAGGCCTAACTTGGTTCAATAGGTTAAAAAGTGGTTTGTTCTGTAGCAATTGAATATTTTGCAATATTTTGCAAAGGATATTGACCCTGAAATTGCTTCTATTCAAGCCAAACAAAAAGAATAAGATTAGAAGAAAAAATGTAATTGGAAATAGTGATATTGAAGAGTTTAAATTTCACAGAAGGGCTAACAGTGTTTTATAATCATTGAAACCAGGGGTGGGGAACCTTTTTTCTATCAAGGGCCATTTACATTTTTGTAACATCGTTCAGGGGCCATACTAAATTATAGGGCTGCTCGACTATGGGGAAAATCATAATTGCGATTCTTTTGGTCATAATTGTAATCACGATTATCAGTCGAAGTCAAAAATATTCACCCTCCTGAGAATTTTGTTTTTTATATATTAATATTACCCAAATGATGTTTAACAGAGGAATTTTTCACAGTATTTCCTATAATATTTTTTCTTCTGTAGAAAGGCTTATTTGTTTTATTTCAGCTAGAATGAAAGCGTTTTTTAATATTTTGAAACGTATTTTAAAGTCAATATTATTAGCCCCATTAAGCAATATATATTTTGATTGTCTGCAGAAGAAACTACTGTTAAACAATGACTTGCCTAAATACACTATTTAAGTCTTTAAATGTTACTTTAAGCTGAATACTAGTGTCTTGAAAACTATCTAGTCAAATATAATGTGCTGTCATCATAACAAACATCAAAGAAATCAGTTATTAGAAACGAGTTATTAAAATGATTATATTTAAAAGTGGGTTGAAAATAAATCTTTCCATTAAACAGAAATTGGGGGGAAAGGGTCGCTAAAAATTCAGGAGGGCAAATAAATCTGATTTTATATATGCAGTTATTTTCCTCCCGGTAAAGAAGGAAAATTAAATAAATACAATAGAATAAAAATATGAAACAAACTGTGCTTTAAGCATCTTCCCTGTAAGAAAAAAACTTTAGCTATAAAAGTCCTTCAGTCAAGAGCAGTGAGTGATTTTGTCCTTTTGTTGTTTGATTAAAAATAAAAACAGTCGGCAGCAGGGATATTGCGCACTGTCACTTTAAGAATAGTGCGGCTCTGATATGGTTTCTCTTTCACGTGTCTTTTGTTTCTTAACTCTCTTGTTTATTACACAAATGAGGGTTGATATGAATAGTCACTAAACACTGCGCTCTGACACAAATGTGCATGTATTTGACCATTAAAGCGCTCACATTAAGATAGCGTTAGATGTGTGTGCTCTGCTCGTCTCCGAGGCTAAGCGCGCGCGCACACACACAGAAGCATGCCATGTGGTCTCGTTCGAGCTATTAAAAACATGAATGATGCACATCCCGTGCTGCAAACGTTACATTACAGCACATGCTTTTAGTCATTTTCAGGAGAAACTGAGCAACAAATGTGTACAACTGTCACTTTCTATAACAGAAACTTATTTTTATTATTTTTCCTGAGGGGTGATTTTGAATTGACAGATGGGGCCGGATCAAATGGTCTCTCAGGCCGCATACGGCCCGGAGGCCGGACGTTCCCCACGCCTGATTTAAACTGTAATAACATTTATTATGATGAATTACTCTTTTAAGTGTTTTAATAAGCACAGGTCTAGTTACGTATGTTGTTTCAGTTTATATACATTTATTTTTTACTGATTATTTCACCCATATTTTCACTTTTATTTTCACAGATTAACATAGGCATCTAGCTTACATGTATTATGCTTTCTATGTAAACAAAATAACTGTAATGAATTAACATTCAATTTGATTTAAAACAAAATGTTGTGTATTTTAAAAACATGCAGTCGGTGTTTATTAAGTCTGAACTATTAGCCCTCCTGTTCATTTTTAGTTATTTTATATTTTTTAAACTTTTTAACACCAACTTTAATAAATCATTTCTGATAACTGACATCTTTTATTTTTGCCATGATGACAGTACTTAACATTTGACTCGACATTTTTCAAGACACTAGTATTCAGCTTAAAGTGACATTTAAAGGCTTAACTAGGATATTTAGGCAAGTTATTGTATAGCGATGGGTTTGGGTCAACAGTATTGACCTTAAAATGGTTTTTATTCTAGCCTAAATAAAACAAATAAAACAGAAGAATAAATATTATTGGAAATAATGTCCTTGCTCCATTAAATATCACTTGAGAACTATTTGAGAAAGAATAAATATTTCATAGGAGGGCTAATTATTTTGCCCTCAACTGTACAACATTTTAAAATCATTCATTTCTTTAGATGTAAACATTCAAATGTGCTTCTTTGAACATCTATTAGTATCTTATTGTTTTGGTTTACAGTAGTGTGCATGATAAATCATACAGACGTAACTTTCTAAATACTTGTTTAAATGTGTTGAGTTAATTCTTATAGAGTTTGGTTCTGATTGGTAAAGTGTTTGTGAATATGCTGTTTCCCCTGTGTACTGATGTTGTGTAGGTGTGTGGCTGGAGGGGTCAGACGGGACAGACATCAATGCCTTGTGTCGATCACACAGTGAGCGAATGGTGGCAGTGGCCGATGACTTCTGTAAAGTTCATTTGTTCCAGTACCCTTGTCCCAAGCCAAAGGTCAGTCACTACCACAAAATAAAAAAATATATAATTATCTTCAAATGAAAATACAATAAAGTTTATTAGATGCCATGTGCATAACGCACAACACATTTAGGTCCGTTTTGACACAGAAGAGATACATCGAAACAATTCAGAATAATCAAAAAAAATTTAAATTAAGGAAAATTAAATTAAATTAAATTAAGGAGCTCGATATTCGCACATTAATGCTGTTTAATAAAAGATAGAACATTGTTTTAAAATGTTGCCTTTTTGTACATGGGTAATGAAGTTAGTGTAGATTTAATTTTGGACTGAATTGAATTAATAAACAAGTATATGGACAGCAGATGCCGAACCGTTGCAGCATGAAACATTGATTTTGTTTTTGCTGATTTAAAAGTGAAATTTCATGCAAAATTAATTTTTAAAAATCTGAATATTATTAAATATTAAATATAATATATATTAATCCTTTTTGTGTCCTTAAAATGTCAATTTGATAAAAAGTAGCATTTTATTTGATTACTTTTATATTGATGAAAGTGTATTTACATTTGCATCATAGTTTGTTTGTTGTTTGAATTTGTTCCCTTTTTAATTAGTAAAAATGGGGTAAATGCAGATAAAAAAACATGGAAACAATATGGTTTTAACAAAAAGAATTGTCAGAAAAAGACTGTTTTATTAAATAATGATTGTTTTGAAAATGGCTCTTATGCAAAATTAATATTCATTTCTTGTGTTAAGAGAGTTAAAGTTAGCAATATATATACAGTTAAAGTCAGAATTATTAGCCCCCCTTTAAATTTTATTTATTTATTTTAATATTTCCCAAATGATGTTTAACAGAGCAAGGACATTTTCACAGTATGTCTAATAATATTTGTTTCTTCTGGGGAAAGTCTTATTTGTTTTATTTCAGCTAGAATAAAAGCAGTTTTTAATTTTTTTAACACAATTTTAAGGACAACATTATTAGCCGATAGTTTCGATAGTCTACAGAACCAATTATCTTTATAAAATGGTTCATTAAAAAATCAAAACTGCTTTTATTCTAGCCGTAATAAAACAAACAAGACTTTCTCCAGAAGAAAAAATATTATCAGACTTACTGTGAAAATGTCCTTGCTCTGTTAAACAACATTTGGGAAATACTTAAAAAAGAAAAAAGAAAATTCAAAGGGGGGCTAATAATTCTGACTTCAACTGTATATATATATTTCATGTAAATGTGATACACACATAGAAACAAAACTATACATATTTACATACATACAACTATATATATATATAAACATTTTCTCAAATATATGGATGCATGTGTGTATTTATATATACATAATAAATATATACAGTACACACACTTAAATTGTCAAAACAAACTTTTATTATGAATGTGATTATATATTATCTATATAGTATCCTTAGTTACAAAATGCACATTAATAATTGACATTTCTTATGATACATCAAATATCATCATTTATTCTCCAATTTCTGTAACAGGCTCCAAGTTATAAGTATGAAGGCCATGGTAGTCACGTGACCAACGTTCGGTTTACGCATAATGACAGTCACCTCCTATCATTGGGCGGCAAAGACACCTGCATCCTCCAATGGCGAATGAAAGGGGCGGGGACTGCGGAACCAAAAGAACATTCAGCTGCTGCTTCTCCTCCAGAAAATGGAACATAGAGAGACTTATTTACCTGGAATCCAGAGGGCAAAAACAGGCATGAAGATATTCTAGGAAATGAAACAAGGAGGAAATATCTTACTGCTCAATCTGATGTGACAGGAAGCCTTTGGTAGGTTATGCCAGCTTTTGTGACACAGCGCAGAAGTTATATACATACTGCATAGCTATTCACTACCAACGTTTTTTCATGAACTGATGTGTTACATGGTGGGCGTTATTAAAAAATTGTGAAATGTCACATTGCATTCCGAAATATCAAAAGAAATTAATAATAAATATGATAATAATTATTAAAAATATTTTTTTTAAAGTTCTTTTAAATTATTAAAACTTTTTGAATAATTTAATTACAGATTTTTGCCACTTATTTTTAAGACCAAAGAAATTGGGCTCAAAATATTATTCAAACATATAAATTATTGAAATTTCTCTCTTTTCAGTGTATCACAACAAAAGGGTTATTAAATCAAATAAACCAATCTTTTATGTTCTTTAATTTGAGCAATAAATAGAAATAAAACAAATAAACAAAAAAATTTTAAAGTTTTTTTATTAAGTTCTTTTAATTAAAAAACTTTTTAATAATTAATTATTAAACTATTAAAATATTTTACTTGTTTTTATACACTGTATGCAACTTATTTTTAAGGCCAAAAAAATTGGGCACAAAATATTATTCAAAAAGTATATTATTAAATTAATAATAATAATAATAATAAATACAATTGCTGTGTCTTTCCAGTGCAACACAAGGGTTCCTTAAATGAAATAAGACAATCTTTAATATGTTTTACATTTATGATTAAAAATAAATAATAAATTGATATTATTAATCATTTAATAATAAATTATTAAAGTTTTTAATGACAAAATAAAAAACTTTAATAATTTATTATTAAATTATTAAAATATTTTAAAATGTTTTTATATACTATATGCAAATTACAGTTTTTTGTATATAGTAAATAAATAAACTAAAATTTGCCACAAAAACTTATTCCCACAATAATTTGAATTTCTGTCTTTTCAGTGCATCACAACAGAAGGGTTTATTGAATGAAATAAAATAATCTTTACTTTCTACGTTTATGATTCTTTCCTCAGTGTACCTCTACATTTACATGTGCTCGTTTATGCCATTATGCCTTTCATATGCTTATTTTAATCATCCGCATTGATTTTTTTTCCCTGGCCATGAAATACTACATGCATAATTGTGTTATTGCATTATTAACCAAAACTCATGTGTCGCTGTGAAGCATGGTGTAACTGACAGCAGGATATTCCTGACTTTATTTGACCAAAATACATCCAAAAGGCTTGTGTTTTATGGAGTCAGCGTGTTTAACAATGTGAAATATATGTGATTTTTAATCAATAAATATGCTTTAAAGTAAGCTTTTTTCTCTGTCTGTACTTCTAAATTCGGAATTAAATGTGAAAATGGAGCTTTCAGGACAGCTAAATGACATCTAGAGGACAATACGAGGAAGAGTTTTTAATGATGGCTGTGATGAGCTCTGTCGACCTGTTGATGGCAGTGTTGCGTCAGTTTTCTCCGTTCTAATCTGATCTTGCGTTGTTCAAGAGAGAAGGCATGTCTGCAGGAAAGTTGACTGAGCGTAAACCGGTTTAGAACAGCAATATACATACTCACCGGCCACATTATTAAGTACACCTGAACTTTTATTGTGTTCATAATTAGTGGTTTGCTTGAAAGAAATCTGAATGATTAACCTTTATTGATATCGTCTGATGAGATCCATAAATGTACTTAAGTATGCACTAAATATTAATAGTGAATATGTTTTCTTGTTTTGTGTCATGTGTTTTCAGAATGACTTCATATAAACAATGTTATCTCATGAATTATGATAAACCACAACAAAAAAAAATAAAAGCGTCATAAAATGAGTAATAATTGTGTCATTTTTATTAAACGTGTCTTATTGTGTTTATACTCGAATTCTAAAAATAATTTTAAATGCATACTAAATGCAAGTGAAGTGTCAATTAATTGTTAACACTAACTTTAGACATGCGTTTTGTTTTGAGATATTTATGTAAGAATGAACCAGGGATTCTGATTCTGATTTCATTTTCCTTCAGCTTAGTCCCTTTATTCATCAGGGGTTACCACAGCGGAATGAACCGCAGACTATTCTAGCATGTGTTTTACACAGCAAATGCTTTTCCAGCTGCAACCCAGTACTGAGAAACACCCAGACACACTCACAGACACAACGATTTGGTTGATTCAATTCACCTTTAGCGCATGTCTTTGGGCTTTGGGGTAAACTGGAGTCCCTTTAGGAACCCAACACGAACACAGAGAGAACATGCAAACTCCACACAGAAATGACAACTGACTGAGCTGGGGCTTGAACCAGCTAGGTTCTTGCTGTGAGACGACAGTGCTAACCACTGAGGTATTGTGTCACCCCGTACAGTAAGTCGTTATACTAAAATTAATTAAAATATTAATAATTAAAACGTTCTTGGGTAAAACTTAAAGGATAATGGAAAATGATATAAAGATTAAATAACAATTGGTATTTTAAAGCTGCATAAACCCTACGACAGCATATGATTGAATAAATGAACGAAAAGAAATTGGAGCTGAATTTTTTTTTCCCCTTTTTTTTATTGTGAATATGGACAAACGTAGTACATAATATACACTCACTGGCCACTTTATCAGGTATACCTTACTAGTACTGGGTTGGACCTCTTTTGCCTTCAGAACTGCCTAAATCCTTTGTGTCATAGATTCAATTCAAAGGTACTGGAAATTATCCTCAGAGATTTCATGATGTGAATCTCCCGTTCCACCACATCCCAAAGGTGCTCAATTGGATTGACATCTGGTGACTGTGGAGGCCATTTGAGTAACTTATTATCGTGATCAAAACACCAGTGTCCGATGATTCACGCTTGGCCATCAGAAGATGGGTGCACTGTGGTCATGTAGGGATGGACATGGTCAGCAACAATACTAGGATAGGCTAGAGATGGTTGTGCGTGAACATCCCAGCAGTTTCTGAAATACTCAGATCAGCCCGTCTGGCACCAACAACCATGCAATGTGCAAAGTCACTTAAATCAGCTTTCTTCCCCATTCTGATGCTCACTTTGAACTGCAGCAGATCACCTTGACCATGACTAAATGCATTGAGTTGCAGCCCCAAAAAAATTGTGTTAACGAGAAGTTGGACAGGTGTACCTAATAAAGTGGCCGGTGAGTGAACATCTCGCAACAATTATGAACAAATAAAACTAAATAAAAATGAGATGATTTTATTAGCTACACAATCAAAGTATAAACAGATGCCAGGAGTAAAATAAATACAGTGCTTGGCATAATTGAGTACACCCCATTTTGAAAATGTATGTTTATCCATTTCTCAGTGAATATAGGCAGTGTATTTCGGTGTGTTTATACAAAACAGATTTATTAGACAGATATGTTTATTAAAATAATATTTTAGTCACCAAAAATATTTAGAAATTGAAAGATAATACAATTAAATTCAAGCTAAATATTGCAAATTTCCCAGAGATGGGTTGCGGCTGAAGGGGCAACCGCTGCGCAAAAACTTGCTGGATAAGTTGGCAGTTCATTCCGCTGTGGCGACCCCGGATTAATAAAGGGACTAAGCCGACAAGAAAATGAATGAATGAATGAATATTTCAAAATAACTACAACCTATAAAACTTTTCAAAAAAATAAAATGTTTTGCTTTGTCTGATTTTTCCTTTTTTTACATGTGTATTTAATATTTTTCTATATCATATAAATTTGGTTGTACTAGTTTTTGGCCGTTATTGTAAATTATTTTGTTAGGTAAGCTCCAGATTTAGCTTTAGTACAGACTAATCTAATGTATATCCACAAATATAATATTGTAAGCTTTCTATTAAAATCATATATGTAAAAGATAGTTTTGTGAGGGGTGCACTTATATGTGCTAAGCTCTGTAGATGGGTAAGATAATAAAAAACAAAATATTTATTTAATCAAATGAAATTTGCATAATGCTTCAAATGTATTTTTTTAGCTTATCTGTTTTTAATGTTACACAGTGTAGTGCCATACTGTTTAGTCTCCTTTATAAAATGTTCACAATTCGGCTTAGCTTCAGCCCATTTCTTGACTGAAATGTGTATTTGCCAGGAGTTTTCCGAATTCAACGTGACGTTGCGAGCTTTCGAAAATGACGTTGCAGAGGGGGTGCGTGCCCGTGCGCGCGCCCGTATGTGTGTGTGTGTGAAACAGAGCGGAGGTGAAGAAGAGGAGGATGAAGCAGGGAGCGGAGGATGGGAGGAAGAGTGGAGTGAGTGAGAGAGAAAGAGAGAGACGGGCTGGCTATCAAGGGCTCGTGTCAAGTGTGAATGTCTGAGAGGGGCTTCGATGGGAGTTTTATCGCAGCGCCGAAACAAAGACGCGATCTTTTTTTACCATCCGGAGAAACATTGTAGCGGAAACTTTAAACTTTTACCCGCCAGAGCGGCAGCGCCGTGCCGGGTCCCGGCTTTGTCTCGCGACGGGGGGAAGTACGCCAGCACACGCGAGGATATAAAGAACCAGCACCACGTTCGGATACACATTTTGACTCCCACGAAGAGGGAATCTGCGATTATTGCGTTTGTTTAGGAGAGCGAGAGAATGGCGGCCAACATGTACCGAGTTGGAGGTGAGTATTATTGTTAAGGCTAACACTAGCAGCAGGCTCGCGGGGGTTAGCATTAGCATTAGCGCGAGCGGCTGTTTCCGCCTTAGTTACAATGAGCGGAATCCCGTTGCTAAGCAGGCTAGGCTAGTTTCGTTACGGCTGCATTCGGGATAACTCGAATTTAATTATTAATATATGTATTAAAGTTCACTTGTGAAGGTTTAAAAACTCGTGCTGACTCTTAAAGTCTTTCTTAACTCAATAGTTTTGGTTTCTTTTTAATAATTAGCCGCCGCAAGCAAATGAGCTAATTATACAGAAAGCCTTGCGTTAGTTTAATCCATTATAGTGCTTTTTACTTACTTTTTTCAAGAGTTATGTGGAAGTTTTTGTCGTGCACGTTTCCCAAACTCTGTCAATCTGTCAAACCTTTGACAACTGAATCATATGGGAGACTCGCCGCACTTTCAGTTTCGTCACCTGTTTGAAAGGAAGCAGTAAAATAATCCAAAATGTTTAGTTAAAGGTGTATTACACGCATGTTTACACTTGGTTAACCTAGAAATAGTGTTTAGAACTAAAAAAAAGTCTCTTTTCTATTCTCATATATGCAGAAGGCGCGTATAATGTCCTATCCAGCTGAAGTTTTCTCCATCATACATGTTCACTTCTACAGTAGACTCTCCTATATATGCCTCTCATATGTCTTTTGTCTGTAAGATGCTGGTGATGATAATATGCGTTAACATCACTGACTGACTGACGGCTTGGTAACCATCTACATTACAGTGCCTTTACGTTCTTAAATCCGTGAATCGGCCGTAAATAGGTCACGGCAATCAGCCTGTGTTGCTTTAGCAGACGCCGCTGATTGCTTTATTGCAGTTGCAGATTGAACATGCAGCGAGTTCTGCAGGAAAGAACTCACTTATTACACGCTTGTCAAAATGTATTAGTGTTTACGACGCGAGACTGGGTTCAGACGAAGGGGAAGTCTGCGTCAACTCACAACTGTCATTTGAACCGTTTTCTCCAATGAAGGTGCTGTGTGGGATGGCACTGTAATGATGTTCTGTCGTAGCTTGACTGCGCTGTTCGTTAGTGTTTGGGGAGGTTTGCACACCCAGGTACTGCTTTCGGTAGGTCACTGGACTTGACCTCCTTATTTAGCCTCGAGCTTTGCATCTCTGCGTTTTCACCTCTGTGTTCTGGAGGTTTGTGACTCAAATGCTGTCACTGTTTTTTGTTCAGTTCATTTGACCAGAGTGTTTGCTTTTGTCATTGAGCTTCCTAGAATGCATTAGTGATCGACTGAGGTATCTGCCGTTTAGTGCTGCCAGGCTGAATCATAAGTCAATATTTGTCTCTTTTGAAGAAACTGGCGTTTGACAGTAACTCTGCTCGACCGACAACCCGTGCGGAAGTGTCATGATTAAAATCATGAAGATTAAATTTCTACCTCTATTTAAAAAAAAAATGCATCATTAAGTAGAAAATTATTCATTATTCACATTTATGTGACTGTGGACTACAAAAAAAAAGTGATGTTGCACTGGAATATTTCTGGCAATAGGCATGACACGATAACTGTTTCAAGGTTTACCGAGTTTTGGAAAAGTCAAGGTTTTCTTTCTTTCTTTCTTTCTTTCTATCTATCCATCCATCCATCCATCCATCCATCCATCCATCCATCCATCCATCCATCCATCCATCCATCCATCCATCCATCCATCCATCCATCCATCCATCCATCCAAATTTGTTTTTGGTTTTAATGAACATACAAACAAAAAAGGACAAAGACAAGGATATCAGTAGACACAAGTATTGCAACAAAAGTCATAAAAAAACAAACAGAATACAAAAATCATAATAAACAAATGAAGTTTTGCTGTGATTTGAGTAAAGTTACACTTATTATGAAAATAAATTCAGCCATTAGAGGCATCCATATTTTCTGAAAGACATCTCTTTTGTTTCCTAAGCAGTTTGTATTTTGCTTTAAGAGCATTGTTTCATTTAACGTGCGTAGAGTTGCTGAAGTTTGCCTTGTACACTTGCAATTTTTTAGGAACTTCTTTGGTTTGGTTTGTCAATCTTGTCAATGCTATTATTCAAAAAAGCTAATGATTCGCACTCAAGTAATTTCTTCGTACTGTTTTTATTTTTTCTTTCTCTTACATTCAACGGGTGATTAAAAGACACAGATGTTTTGGCACAATGCCTTCCTCAGTGCTCATTG